CATAGCGCCCGCGAAATCACTTTGCGTAAAGACACAAACAAAGCGTTGGAAAGCCCTCCGTGTCCTCGATGGAGCCCCAGCAGCCGCGCATAGCCACAGAGAGAGGCCGGGGAGACTCCGCTGGAACGCGCCCTGATTCTCAACCACGAGCGGAGGTAGTCACGTAGTCTAAAACCACCATGACTTTCACCGGAACTCCGGAACTCCCGATGCAATCGCAATGCGGACCCTGAGCCCTCGGTGCCTTCCCCGCAGCTTTCTTGCGATTCGATGGCAAACCAGATCAGTTTCTTCACAGGTGGGCTTCGGAAGCCCAAAGTTTCTGCAAGGATCGTGCTGGATTGCTCGATGAAGCCGACGTGGGAAACGTTGCACGCAACAAGAAGGCTATCTACCCTGAGCTCACAGGCCGTGTAAAAGCAAGTCGAGCCAGAAACTTGCTGGCGTTTACCGCTTAATACTGCTGTCAACTGGAAATACTGGTGTCTGAAGACGCAACCTCAGACACGGTGCATTGGTCGAGGTGCAGGGCAACGATGGTAGGGTGCTTGGATGCAGCGTTGAGTGTTGGGGGAACTGGCAGAAAACCCCACTTCAGGCCAGAGGACATCCGCGAAGCAAGCTGGTGTTTCGACACATTTCTTCTGGCCGACTCACATGCTGCTAGCAGATTCCATCGAATGGGCCTTTGCTGCTTGCACAAACTTCGACCGAAGATGCATTACACGCAGCATTTGGTGGATGAGCTGCCCTGCCACAAGCTCAGCTTTTACCACGCTGCGAATTTTTTGGCCGAGGATCATATGAAATTCCTCAAGATTGTTTCGGCCGGCCGCCACGTGACTTCTCAGCCTCGCACCTGGGCAAGACGTTACCTGACGAAACAAGTGTTTCTCTGGCGACAATTGCCCGGCGCGAAGGCGAAGAAGAAGCACCGCGTCGCCGTCAAAAAGAGGACGCTGCAGGTCTCTTAAGGGTTCAGGGTTTAGGGTTTCCAAAGTTGGGGCTTCAGGTTTGGAGGTTGAGGGTTTAGATTTCGGTTTGAGGAAGAACTTTCCACAATGCACATTCCATAGTCCCGAAGCTTGCAAAGGCACCACATTTGAAGCCTCAAGACCCAAGGCCTCCCCCAAAAAGAGGAGGATGCATTCACATATACACCCCTTAATCCCCATATTCCCGAAACCTCTCTTGTTCGCAGCATCCGCCTTGATCCTGAACCCTGGCCAAAGCTTGCACAGACTCCAAATCATAACCTAGGTTTCCACGCCTGAACTTGAACTGTTAAAACCCACAACAAGGAATCCTGCATAATGCTGTCATTTGTTCCGGTAATACGCAAGTTATTCGAGTTAACCCTCATTTGAACTAACCTCGTATTCAACTGCTGGGGTTCTATGGAAATGACCGCTGAATTTCGGTCGCTCGGTCGGTTGTGCTTTGTTGCGGGTGAAGGCACGCGGCTGTGTCGGGTATGTGCTTAGCTTGATGCATGTGCTGGAGTTGGTCGGTCCGTCGCTTGTGCTTGGTTGGTTGCAACTGATTGCTTGAAGGCATGCGGCTGTTCGTCGGTTATGTGCCTGGCTTGATGCATGTGCTGGAGTTGGTCGGTCGGTTGCTTGTGCTTGGTTGGTTGCGACTGATTGCTGGGATGCTTGCATTTGCTTCCGTTTTCAGTGCACATGTGAGGTTTGGCTGCTTTGCACCACCCGTCAGGAGTCATAGAACGGCCGTTGGCACCTCGCCACGCCCACAAATTCGTTATACCATGTTCGTACGGCCGTTGGCACCTTCACTTAACCGCTGGGATCCCGACCCTTGCGCTGGGATGTGAGCCAACCGCTGGGAATATAACCGCTGAGACAATTAACCGCTGGGATTAACTATATCTGCTACTGGAGCGGTCCGAAGTTGTGGCTTCTTCGATCAGTCCAGGAGCCAAAGGCCAACGTCCTTGCCAGCTCCACTTCGCAGCCGACTGCCTGAGCAGCTGGCGCCATCTGGGTCACCTTCGAGGTTGTTCGAAGAAAGCGGAGCTTGCTGATCTGAGTGAGATGAAAAGAAAGGAGGGTCAGAGAGTTACGGAACGGCCTTTGGATCAAGCGGCTAGTGTTCGGAGACCGTTACGAGTGCACGATTTGAACACTGCAGGGCGAGCCCTTATTAATTCAAAAAGGGTGCGCAAGCCGTGGCCTACGTCACGAGACCTCTGGCAGCAAGGAAAGCATGACGGTGTGGAACCTGTCTTGGGTTTCTTTCCCAGCACTGCAAGCTCCGAAGGGCCCCTATGCTTCCTAACAGGTCTTCAGCAAGAGAGTGCACCAGAGCTGTGAGCGCTCACCAACGCTGGTGATGGAGCTCCTGGCGAAGCTTCGTGCAGAGGCATGCAAAGCACTGGTTCAGGAGAAACCAGTTTTGAACTCGACTCGCGCTTCTTCGGAAGGAGTGCGAAGATTTGAGACGCATGCTTGACGCATCCACCCGACGTGAACAAGGACTTGCGGCGCAAGTGCGCGCATAACATGCTCTCCGCCCGGCTCGTGACAACGAGGCCCGCCACACGGTGCCCACTGAAGCCGCGTTCAGTACCCGTGTCCGGCTTCGACCTGACTCTTCCTTTCTCGAGCCGCTACTCCGCGAAGGGGCCGATGCTACATGCATCGAGCTGCTCTTGACTACGTTTACGTTCGACGAGCCACGCATTAAGGAGATATGGCCGCTGCGGCACACTCTCGCCTGGCCTCGGTGCGATTGCTGATAGACCAGCAAAAAGCACAATTAAGCCTGCAAAGAATCGGGCCGGGTCATTTCAGAGTCTGGTCGATTCGGGCGTTTTGTCAAGACGATCCAGGGCCGTCCCTTGCCGGAAACCTATGGGGGTAGCTTTCGGGGACTCAAAGGTGCCCTGCATGCCAAGACCGCGCTGTGCCCGGTGCCGCGCACCGTTGACGGCGAGTGAGGATTGTGTGGTGCTCTTCGTTGGCGCCTCAGGCATCACGGCGTACCGCGAACGGTACGATGGCCTTTGGTCGATTGCAGTGCCTATCGAGATGGATCATTGTCGATTGCAGGGCAAAGCAACTACTGCTGCAGCTCAGCCCCCCGTGCCAGCCTCCTCGTGCTAGCGAGCCGCGATTGTTCTGCGCGTTTTTGCTGCTGCTGCTGCTGCTGCGGCGCCTCGCCTGCATAGCGTGAAAGATGAACTGGACGACTCGAAGAAGAATGTCGACCAGGTTAACCGATCAAAGCAGTGCGTTGAAGCATTCGCAGAGATAGCCGGTAACACCCAAATGTGTATCGGAGAACTGGTGAAAGCATTTCCGCATCTAGAACGCCTGAATACATTTCCAGACGAAAGTCTGGAGCGGAAACGAAAAAGCTTAGCTGAAGTGCTTAAATGGCTAAAAGGAAGAAGGAATCAGGGCAGATATGTCCTAAACCACCCAAGTAGTACTGGTACAAGTGCTGGTGCGAGTACCAGACCTATACCTGGTACAAGTTCAGGTACAACAGTCGTACTGGCACTATAGTAGTCCTAACACTGTGGCAGATGCCGCTCACGAAGCAAGCCCCAAAATGAAGACAGCAAGAGCAGGCTAAGGCCTAGAGAGCAGGCTAAGGCCTAGCTACTTTACCCCACGCAAAGCAGGCAGGCGCAGTCGTTGTTTTCTGCTCGGCGGGCGGACGCTTCGCACCAGGCACTCACCAAACTGCAAGCCGTTAGCGCGCTGACACCGCTGTCTGGATTACCTTATTGGCATTGCGCTGTACGCTACAGAACTGAGCTACAGTTACAATGCTCTGGCCGACACCGGGCTGGACGGATGTCCACATGCTTCCGTGAAGCACGCGACGGAGCGCTCTTTCAGCAGCCCCATGTTTTGAGGAAACCGGACTACCGCATCTCTCAGAAATCGGCCCCAAGTTTTAGGGTAGCAGGGTTCGGCGGGCACCTAGGGTTTAGGGCCGAGCGTTTAATTCCCCTTTCGCATTTTTTCAGTCCCTAATGAGAGGGTTGAGGCTAGTGCTAGGTTAGGTTGTTTCCGCCCACCGGAGCCTCCACCCCCAAGCATAATCACGTCCATGCTCCGAGAAAAGATCATCCGTGGCCCAACCTTGATGACAGCCACACTGGGTTTTTGCATCGCCGTGTAAAGACAGCACTGTGAATTCCCCGGCACCTGTATCGAAACTTACAGTTTACAGTTTACTGCACAGTAGTTTGTATAGGCCTCGCAAATGCATTATCTGCAGGGTGGGGATGTTCGAAGCAAAATACTTCTTGTGCTGTGGCTTGTGTCTTTTGGCAGGCGAAGAGTTCGCAGCTCAAGACCGAGCACAAAAATCAAACTAGAGCACAAACCCGAGCACAGACTTTGCAGATCTGAATCTTTTGTGCTGTGGCTGGTGCTTTTCCATGTGCACCAGCCCGAGCACAAGAAAAAACAAAAAACAGCCAACCTGGGCCGATGTAAGCTGTCAAAAACAACGCACTGGGGCCAGGGGGCCAGGCAAGGGCCCGCCGGGCCGGTGGACCGGTAGCCGGAGAAAGGCTTCCAAAACAACGGCTGACACAAACCCTGTGGTACGCGTCTACGCGTTGATGTGTTGAAGCTTCAGAGCTAAGCTTATAGAACAAAGCCATCTTAGAGCCATGACCCCACGACCCTTCAACATTCACAACTTGATCATGGGTTCTGGTTTTGTGTTGCGCTTGTTTTCGTGCTCTCGGTTGTGCTGTGTGCCATAGGGCCACCCGTGTACGCCATCAATCGTTTATCGAAGCTGCCTGTTGGCTGGGGTGGTCGGTGGTCGGGCCGCAAGACTAGTCAGAGTAGTTTCTGAGCCGTCAGAGGCCGCGCCGAAAGGTTTGCCACCTGTGGCCGCCGCCCAAGGGACCAAAGCTCTCCCTCTCTCTCTGAGTGGTTCGGTGTTTCTTTGCGATTCTCCTTGCTGCCTGTCACGGAGTCTCACAAGACCGCATCAAACAAGACCCCGACTCCAGTCGCTGAGCTCGCAGTCAACGGGACAAACGCCGTTGTCACAGGTCTTGTTTTCGGACAGGCTCTCGCATGCCAAGCCTGAAAAGAGAGGCACTGGTGACACGTCTCTGCTCTGCTCGGCTTTCGACGAGAGGCCACCATAGCTTGCATAAACCTCCAACAAGTGCCGGGGACAGCGCATAGCTAAAGGAGCCCGACAGGAGGACACCGGCCTGGACTGATCGTGTGCGTCGGGTGACACCCATGCCGCAGCTCACGTCGCAGAGCTCCCATAAGCCCCAGTCCTGCACAACAGGTCCAGAACGGCCCGAAACTGCTTGCAGCGCTTCCGTCCGTAAGGACGCAGTCCACGGGGCAGCTGTTCTGCCCGCAGCTGGTCTCTTCCATGTCCGACCTACCAGCTGAAGTTTTTGCTAACTTTTCTTCAGGTTCCTGTCGGCTCCCTGCCCAATTTCTTCGCATGGTGCTCCGTCGGCACTAGGCTGGACCTCCAAAACACAAAGGTGAGCCCAGAGCCCTTTTCTTACGCCGCAACTGCTTTGGATGAGGCGCGGCGACGCTTCGGAAGCGCTTTCCTCAGCTCCGATCCCGTCTGCCCGTCTGCGGTCAGGCCGCATCTCTCCAAGTGACACTCCCTTCCTGAGCGCCAAGAAGCGCGTACCCTTGCCGCAGGACTTGGAGCAGCCGCCCCATTGGTCTCAGAGTCTCAGAGCTGAGGGAGGAGTCGTGCCGCTCTAACGCTCTGGCCAAGGCACCCCAGTCCGCGTACTCGCAGTCGATAGGGCAGTCGCCCAAATTGCAGTCTGACGTCCTATTTCAAGGCCAGAGGAAGCTTCGGCAGCTCTCACGGATCCGTGGCCCAAGCTGTGTGGTGTTTCCCATGCACTGGGCACCGCCAAATTCAGCTGCCTGCAGTTCATCGACTTGAGATGGACAGGAAATCTATGGCCGGGGCGGCGAGGGGCCTTCCGAAAGTCACGTGAGCGGCTCCTCGTGCCTGGACCACAGGTCGAGCTGCACGCCGAGTACTTCCTGTAGCCGTCAAGCTGTCTCGGCACGCGAAGGACCGGGCGCACCGAACTAAGCCGCCAGGACACGACCAGTCTGCCCACAAGCAGTCCACCGGACAGTCATTCTTTGTGCACTCCTTGACATAACAACGAGGGGCATGGCCCGCCATGTCATCACAAGAAAGCCGCTATACAGGCTAGCGGCCCTGGACTCTCGGTCGTTGCCATCGCAAGCCTTGCCGTGCCCCTGCGCCATTATTCTGACTTTGCGGGTCCTCAACGCAGGCAAGAAACAAACCGAAACTGCCATACATGCTCCTCATGGCATGCTTCTGGGTGCCTGATGGATTCGCCTCCCCCGCATGTGAACTGGCAGACGCTCCAGTCCACCCAGTCATTCCAAACCTCACAGGTCACAGGGAACTTCGAGGCTTTCCCAAATTCGGAGCAGTTCGAGGAGGCCACGCAATCGACGTCCTCCGCCTGCGCAAAGGCGACAGAAAAAGACGTCGGCCGCCTGCGGCTGGCGCCGCTTCCGGGGCCCCGAGGCGATGGCCGCAAACTCAAGGGACTCGATCTCTCCTGTGAACTTCAGCAGCAGAGCAGCAGAGCAGCAGAGCAGCAGAGCAGAAGGCTTCAAAACCTGCCAAATCGATGGCCGCCCCGAGATGCCGCACGTTCGCCTGGATGGCGGTTGGTCTGAGCTCGTGTGCTGTGTGCCCTCTGTCGGCCTCGTCGCGGAAACGAGCGGCCGCTCGCATCAGCCGAGGCGGAGCCTCCAGCTCGAGCTCCTCGGACCGGCGGTGACCGCAAGGGACGACGAGGCTGGGAGTGGAAGGCTGCGCCGACGCGGGGAGGACGCCTCCGGCACAGCGTGCGCCGCCGAGCTCGTCGGCGCTGCGGGTGTGACCCGCAGGGCCAGGGCCAAACTGAGGAGCTGCCCGGCACGCAGCCGACCTGGCACGCTCTGTTTTCGCTGAGACTGCAGGCTCGGCTCTGGCGGCCTGCGACGAACATCTTGTAGTATATGCCTCGTCCATACAGGCTCTGGAAAAGGCTCGCATGCAAACCACGCTTCTTGGGAGCCAGCAGTACTCACATCCAGCGTGAATACGCCTGGGCAGACTCCGTCTTCACGCTGGATTAGCTTTCTTCAATGGCCCAGATCTGCGGTGCTTTTGAAATCGCTGCTGTATGGATCAACTCCTCATCGTTTCAAGCTCAGCTGTCTCCCTGCAGCGCAACAAAGGCAACAAATCACCCCAAATGCCTTGCAAGGATGAATGCCACTGAGGCGACATGTGTCTCTTGCATAGCCGCCCCCCCCCCAACAAAAAAAAACAGCCCTCTCTGTGCAATCGAGCGTCTGGAAGCTGAGAGAAATGGATCTGCGCAAAAGACGACGACCGACAGAGGAGGGAGGAAGGGAGAGACTGCGCGCCGATGAGCGGCGCTCCTCCGCTCCTCCCGCTTGATCCCAAAGATCCACGGGACGGGACGGCCGCGCGGTGAAGCGAAAAAAAACGCTCAGACCTGCGATAAGCGCCTTGATCTCTGAAACACAAAGTGGGGGGGGGAAAGTTGGGTTGACAAGGCTCTTGGCTTGAGCCGCCTCCACGTGTCAAGCAGCCGGGCCCTCAGCGAAAAGGCTGAGGGCAGCTAGGCACAGCTCTGATGAAGGTGCGCATTGCAACAATTCTCACTGTCTCCGGCCAAACTTTGTCCTGGCCAGTTTCGGTTGGAAGGTTGAAGCTTTGGACCATGGGTATCAGGAAATGCTTGGACTCATGCTCGGACTTGCATATTGGAGCATTGAACATCTCACTCCGATGTCTTTGCTGTTAATGCCGCAGGACATTGGCTTGCAACAAACACTCCACTCCGGGCATCTCTCAGGCAAGTCAAAGCAGAGCCAGGTCGCTTAACAAAGCAGAGCGAGCATAAGACCACAAACAAGCCCTTTCGCTCGCAGTGCGCGAACCGGAGCTCCCCTTCGATGCGCGCAACCGACAGCGCAGGCGCAGACAGCAGCGCAGTTATCAGGCAGGGCCTCAGCGAAGCGGAGAAGTGGAGAGAATGAGATGGGTTGGGCCGTTTGGTGGTATTCCACAAAGCTTCCGGCCCATCGACTTCTGCGGGGCCTTGGGCTTGGGACTCGATGGCGGGGAAGGAGGGGACGGGGGGGGTGGGGGCGGTGCCTTGCCTCGGGGTCTGGGCGGCGCCTTGCTAGGTGCAGAAGACAAGGAAGGGGGCGGAGGTGGTGACGGCGAGGGTGGCGGACCAGGGATGGACGCTTTGGGTTTTGACCTGGACTTGGGTTTCGATGGTGCAGGGGGTGTTGGAGGGGGTGCCGCAGGCGGTGCCGCAGGGGGTGCCGGGGGTCTGCGAGGTGTGGAGGCCTCTGCTCGCTTGGGCACTGGGACCGCCTTCGCCGCAGCCGGCGGAGGTGGTGGGGCTTTTGCTGCCGGTGGAGCCGGTGGAGGTGGCACACCTCCAGTCATCTTTTAAGTCTCTGCTTCAAGATGCACAGGATACTTCCGGCGGTTCCGGCGGTTCCGGGCCTGGTGCTGCCAGAGCCTCGCAGTAGGGCGCATCTTTTCACTCCAATTCAGCACGGCGCGGCTGCGTGCGGCTGCGGTCCTCAAGGTCGATGTCGGCCAGGATCTCTCCGGCCTCATCCTGTGTGGAGCTCCGGGGAAGCAAAGCTATGGCAGTAGGCGAAGCTTGGCGCTTTGCGCTGGTGAGCTCCAGGATCTGATGCTGCGCTTGCTCCAGCAGCCTGGCAGAAAACAGGCAGGAACTGCATGCAGGAGCGCTCCGGCCGACTACCGAGATCCGGACGCGGCCAGCTCCTTCTCCCGTTTCTTGGCATCCGCCAGCTCTTTTGTAAGTACGACCTCAGAAAAAGCATGTTGGAGCACAGGCGTCCGCGTTGGCGTCGCAGTTCCCAGAGTGGGCCTTCTCCCGGCGGACGGTGATGAGCTCCGCCTCCTTCTCCTTCAGCTCCCCTGCACGTTCGGCCTGAGCCCGGCTAAGCACATTCTGCGGGCGAGCGGAGCTCCCGCACTGGTCCGAGTCCCCGGGCTTCCCTGGCCCTGGACTCCGACAGCTCACGTTCCAACTGGCACAGGCGGCTGACAGGCGGCTGCTGGGCTGCTGGGCTGCTGGGCTGCTGCTCCACACAGAAGAAGCGCCTTCAGCTGCCCTTCCTTCATCTCCTGAATCTTCCTTTCAAGCTCCTCCGGCTGGGGTTGAAAGCCAAGGCCCCGTGGCCCCGTTTTCCAGACCTCGCGGCTGTCTTTGCCGTCCAGTGCCAAGTCCCTCTCCTCGGAAACAGGAGCCATGGAGGAGGCTTGGAAGAGAAGCCGGAGCAGTAGGAGATGGCGTAAATGAGGACCCCGAGCTTCGGGCGATTTGTGCTTGCTCCACACGCTCCGCGAGCTCCTTCTCTGCTCTCGTCTCTCGTCTCTTTTAGTCTCTCGTCTTCTCTCTTCCAAGAGCTCAGATCTCCTCGTAGCTCTCCTGCGCGACTCTGGCCCGCTCCTGCAGAACCGAATCGCGACAGCTGGTCGCGACTTCCGAGAACTGGGACTGGGCTGCGAAAGCGCGCCAAAACGCGCCCTCGCGCCGACGCGGCGAAAGCGAAAGCTCTCCGCGCCTGTTCCTCAAGGAGCCGCTCCCGCAGCGCACCCTCGCGCTCCTGGCCGGCGAAAGCCCTCCCCCCTGCCAGAGAGCATCGAGAGTACGTAGACACGTGCTGCTGTGTACGGCTCTGTACTTCTGCTGCTCTTCTCTGGTCCTCTGCGCCGGTGAGGCGCTCGGATAGCGCAGCCTTCCACACTCAACCGTGCTTCTTTGCTTCGACTCAGCGGCAAAAAGTCACGAGCAGTCCCTGTCTCCGCCTGCTGCTGCTCGGCCTTGGCGACCTGAAGACTAGAGAGCTTTCCGCCCCTTCCGGGCCGGCGGCCAGCGGCCGGCCTGGTGCGCGAGAGCGTTCGCCTCGGCCTGGAGCTCCCTTAGCACGAGGGCTTTATGGCGAAGAGGGCGAAGGAGGGAGGAGGGGACAGAGACGCACTTTGGGAGGCCAGAACCTCTCTTGGCTGCCAGCCGCTCTTTGCCCCCGAGGGCCTCGCGCATGCCGAACATCCAGTCCTCCCCTGCCATGTTCGGCAGAACTCCGAACCGACATCCGATGGGTGTTGGCAAGAGAATCGGGAGGCCTGAATAGTTCTCAGGCTTGCCATCGATGCCTCAGAATTGGATCCGATCTGTTTGCTTCCGTGATGTTTTGCTCGCAGAGCTGTGCCTGGAATTGCATAGCCAGAGTCCCTCCATTCAGTGAAGGGGTTCCTCCGTCCAACAGCAATGAGAGCATGACGTGCAGCAAAGAAGGCTGCAGAAATTCGGAGCGTCAAACACCCCGACGCTGCCTCGGGTCTGAACCTGGCTCTTCGGGCTGCATTTTGCATTCTCACACCCGAGGTAGAACATGCGGTCTCAAGCCTTTGCCAGCACGTAAGGCAGCCTTCGAAAGCCTCCAAGCGCACGAATCCAATTATAGCCCTGACCTTATCATGGAAGGATGGAGGTAGCATCAAAAAGTGAAAGAGGCAAACGACTTGAGAGCCACGGGCTGGGAAGAAAGCTCTAGCATGAGCAGGGCTGGTGACACGGAAGCAACATGACCAGCTATACAAGCAGGCGAGGCAACGAGGGTTTGTACTATCACCACCGCATTGTTGTTCGATCCATAAACGCTCGATCTTACTCATTTCCAGGATTCAAAAACCAAATTGTCCCTGCTAGCCGCGCCACACTCGCTCACAAGCCCCCTCACAAGGAATCTGCAGCAGCAAGTAGCAGCTGACACGACAGCTATGTATTGCAGTGACGTGTGCTTGCAGCCGTCGTTTGGTGCAGCCAATGTCAGACAACAAGATGCAAAGAGCAACACTTGCGGGAGCAGTTTTGATCCAACATAGCAACTCTTTGCTCAACAAAGACAGACAGAAGACCAACTTGTCCCTGATAGCCACGCCCACACTCGCCCACACACCCCCAAAACTGCAGCAGCAAGTAGCAGCCGAGACGACAGCTATGTAGTGCAATGGCGGGTGCTTGGAGTCATCGTTTAGTGAAGCCAAGGTGAGACCAGAAGATGCAGAGAGCAACATTTGCGAGAGCGGTTTACAGTTTTGATCCAACATCACAGACAGCTTTGCTAAACATAGACGAACAGACATGTTACAGCACGCCTAGCGCAATACGTCAAGTGCACATAACGGCATTCACAAATGTCAAGTCTCAGCTTTCCTGTCACGGATGATGCCATTACTACTGAGGGCTTGTACTCTCATCATCACACTGTTGTTCAATCCTATCCACAAACGCTCGTTCCGCAATTTAAACACCAACTTGTCCCCGATAGCCACGCCCACACTCGCCCACACACCCACAAATTTGCAGCAGCAAGTAGCAACCGAGACGGCAGCTATGTATTGCAGTGGCGGGTGCTTGCAGTCATCGTTTAATGAAGCCAAAGTGACACCGGAAGATGCAGAAAGCAAGATTTGCAAGAGCAGCTTACAAGTTTGATCCAACATAGCAACCTTTTGCTAAACAGAGACAGACAGACAGCTGTGCTAAACATAAACGGACAGACATGTTGCAGCATGCCCAGCGCAGTAATTCCCAACACTCACTGTCTTCTCGCACAACATGGCACGATACGGCCAGCATCAGCAGCATCAGGCAACACACCCAGGCCAGCATCAGTAGCATCAGAGGAGCCCCGTTTCTCCTTCCGACGTCGGAAAAGGGCACTTACCAAAGAGTTGGGGGATAGCCAAAAACCCACCAAAATCTGCCAACCCCCCCCTCCTGAGATGTAACCTGGGCGTGTATACCCTCGCTATGCATACAGGAACACAGGCTCTTTTTACTACAGGCGCACAGCTGTAGTCCACTGCACTCGAACCTTGAGCAACAGGCATGGATACATGCAAGTGATACGTGAAACACACAGGCACCTGGATGTGCAACATCAGTGTTTCAACCAGGCACAAGTTTAAAACACGTAGAACTTTCATGGCCGTGGAGTCGGCATTCTACAAGCCTGTTGTTGCCCAAGCAAATTAAAACTGCGGAGATTGACCTACATCTGCGACTTGCGAGAAACTACACATCTCAGCCTAAAGACAGCTTATGAAAAGAACAGAACACGCGATAAACACAAACGGATCTTCGGCAGAAAGCTTTTGCTTGAAAGTTGCCCACTGTGGTGTTCAGTTCCCTCTCCAGGTGGAAAGCATACTGCACATAAGGTTGTAGAGCTGAGCTCCACTTGATGCCAGCATGACATCATTGCGGCAAGGCAAATCGTAAAGGCTTAGAAATATCTTATCCTGTGATAAGTATCTTCTTCTTGGCAAAGTCTTTAGGAAGTACCTTTTCCTCAGACAAGCATCTCCCTATGAAACGGCGAATGTTCGGAGTGGATACCTTCTCCTGTGAGACGCTTTCCGTGGACACTCAGTCCAATTCTTCAACCGGACCTTGTTGTTGGTAAAGATCCAAAAGCCGACGAACTCGTGGATCCTCATTTTCATGTGGAAGATGTCGATGAGGATAGTACCATCGTTCCAAACGCCAGTGATGGAGTTGCAGAACGTAAGGAAACCACGGTCCATCGCCAAGAGAATTCGTGGGACCAGGACCCATGTCTTCGTCAGGAACGTCGTCATGGTCATCCTCAGAACCTAGTCAGTTCTTCCCCTTGTTCTTGCCCTTGGACTTGTCCTTGGACTTGCCTTTGGACTTGCCCTTGTCAGTGTCTTTGCCTTTTCGCTTGGAGGACTTGCCTCCTTTGCCGCCTTCCGCTTTGCCGTTGAGAACCAGACGTGGTTGCACCAGAAGCTCCCTCTCCCTGTGGAGAGACTGCTCACTGAGGTGCGGCAGACGAGGGGCCACCAGATCCACGCGCCTTGTTTGCCTTCTGTCTCTCTTTCCTCCTGTCCGCTGCCTCTTTGACGGTCTCGGGATTACGGCTCAACGCCCTCATCCGTCCACCTGTGTGCTGGTTCGCGTGAACCTCGATCAGGAGAGGAGTATGGGCGTCGTGGTCCCGGTCGTTCAACAGGTACGAGGCGCTGGTGTAGTTGAGGAGCCACTCGGAGACATGTGTATGTTGTATTCTGATTGCTTTGGCGAAAACTCTGCCCATTGGTCCCCACTCCAGAACAGTTGCCATTAAGGGATCAGGCCCTGGAAACCTGTTCCAATCGGGCTTTTGGCAATCCCGGTAGGGTTGGCCACCGAGCGTGTCCTCATACTGCTTGAGGAGGCATAAAGAATTTGCGGAAATATGCCTTGCACGCGGAGCACAAAGGTGAGGACGCTTTGGGCTCTCAGACCAAGCCTCGAGAAAGTAGGCGAGGAGGTTCTGACACATGCCGCCGCGAATGTGCATGGACTCCTGTTTGCGAGCAGTGGCCCGATAGAGGGCCATGTTGGCATCACCACCGATCAGATCCTTGCTCTTTGAATCATCGTCCTGCACCAACTTTGCCAAATCATCGGGCAATGCTTGCATCCTCTTTGGGTTGCCTTTCACATAGCGGCGCTCCTTCGGTCCGTCGCTTGCACTGCCAGGCGTTGTTGTTGCACTGCCAGGCGTTGTGATTGCACTGCCAGGCGTTGCAGGAGATGGCGTCTGCAATTATGAGGGCACAGGTCAGCGCGGTCACCCTGCACCTCTGGATTCTCCGGCGTGGCAGACATGGCCCCGGAACAAAACCCCGATCACACACACACACCAAAACTTAGAAGACAAAGAAACAAAGACAGCCTACGAGCCCCGGACGACGACCGAGGCTCCGCTACCAATGTTAAACTAGAACTGACTTGGGAACAACAGCACAGACAAGCAACCCACCGAACGGTTTAGACCCTTCCAACAACTTAGAACCACACCCTCCCCTGGGGGACCTACGACCAGTCGGAGGAAACCTTTTCTGCACTGGAAACGACTCTTGTGCCCTCGGTGGCGCTGGATTTGCGATTGCATCCTGGGATTGACACCAAACCCTAAGTATAAACCCTATAACCTATAACCTCAACCTTAAACCCGAAGCCCTAAATCCCTAAATTGTATACAACCCTAAACCCCAAAGCATAAATCCGCGACTGTCAGGTCGACATGGCAAGACAGGCGACAGAAAAATACAAGGCTTTGCCGATGAACGCGACAAAGTTGCAAAAGCGCAGCTACAGCTCTTGCAGGACATTATGGCTACTGGGGAGCAGTTCTGCAAGGCTGAGCTTGCAAGACTGATCACGTCAAAGGCAGCAACAGGTCCGGCCCCTGCTCCCAACATTGCCGATCCTCCGGCCCCTACCAAGGGCGCCGGTGGTGTCAGTGCGAGGATATGTTGGTCAGTCCTGCAACCCCACGCACGTTGTTATCCGTGGCATGAAAGCATCTTTCCAGGGTGAGCTTCTCACCCAACGCGGCTTCTGACACCTGCTCGGGAACTTTGCTGTGTCCTTGAATGGCGGAAACCCTGATCTCAAAATCCCAGTCGAGGGAGCGACTGAAGGACAATGCTTTGGGTGCCACCCAGATGTTGAAGCGGCCCTTCGAGTTCGCCATCAGGAAGCTGAAGACTTTCCGTGGGTTCCAATCGAATGGGCGAATCTTCTGCCTCATCATCGTTTTTAAGGACACTTCCATATACTTCCCTGGAGTGACCCACTCGTTGTGTCGCAAGAGCCCAGATAAGGCCGTGGAGCTGCGAACGGCCCACTGCCATGGTTGTGCTTCAGCTTGGAAACTCGAAGATCTCCGTGTTCAGCGCGGCCAACTCACCAGAGTCCAGGCAGCCCAGGAAACAGCAAAGGAACCCATACTTCCAGACAAGATCCCTTTGCAGAATGTGTGTTCCCGGCTGGCTCTCCTCATAAAGACGGACGTGTGACAGAAATGCCAATTGTCCTTCCAGAATCTCTGTTACGGCTGTCTCCCCATGTGGGAAGTATGCCGTAACATCCTGCTGTCCATAGAAGCGAGGAACAGGTTCCGGCTTGATCTTGAGGGAGGCCACAGGTGCATCACGAGGAAAGGCGCGAGACCTCCTCGCAGGATAGATCACCACATCGCCCTCGCCAACTGCTCGGAGTACACGATGTGGCTCCCAGGACGCTCTCTTCAGATACATGGCAAAGTCGGGAACACCAGTGCGAATATCAACCTTGAGGTTGCATCCGATGTTCGTGTCCAGAAGACCTGTGTTGGTGCCTCCTCTTGAGAGGAGCTTCCAGTATCCATCGAGGCGTCTCCTGCCGCAGCCATGCTGGTAACATAAGTGGAAGTTGCGGGCTACTTTCTCACTTGAGTTTTGAACCCGCTGATTTGAGCAATGCAGGCACAAATTGAGAGAGAGACCAACAACTCTTCAAGAATGCACATGCACTGAATTGCACTGACAGCTCACACATGAAGCAGCACATGATTCACAATCGCGCCTGCATGAACATGACATGTTGCACTTGACCTAAAACCGCGTACTCCTTACGGAGCCAGGCGTTCAAGAAGGCTTTGTGCTCAATCATAAAACGAAAAGGAGGATGTGAATCACTTTCCTTCAACCACGCGGTTTGAACACCGTTCAGGAGGTTTCTAGGATTAGCGCTACGTTTCGTGAGACAGTCACACAAACAATGTTCGGTTCGAACATGAGAAAGATCAGCAATAGCCCCTGAGCAAGCTTCCTTCCTCAGCATTTGAATCATGTGAATGGTTTCCTGTTGCTCGGGTGAGTGAGTAGTAGCAGCAGTAGACACGAGATTGTTAGCGTCAGTTCGCATGTGAATCTCAGCATCAAGACCACTAAAGTCCTTCCACACTCGGGCGTCTCTTCGATTCTTGACCCTTTCATCTGCCATGAAAATAGTCATCGCTCTCTGCGAAGACTTGTCGCTGCTGTTACGAAAAGCTGCGTCAGGAATTCCAAGAATCCTCGGTGATCCCTTCACTGGCCACCCTGAACAACTCAACCTCGTCACTGCGTATCTGTCGACACAACTTGATCAACTCCTTGCAGTGACCGACGGTTGGAGCAGCAGATGCGGAAGCCAAGCGAGAGAACTGATAGCATGCCTGAAACTGCGTCCTCGACTGAAGCCAGTTGATGCAACCAAGCAGCGATCTGTAAGAGGTGTGGAGAGTCTTATCACACGCATCAGCATCCTTAAGATGCTTCGGTATGACGATCTCCTCAAGCTCTCTCTGAAACACACAGCTTTTGATCGATCGATATGTACTTCTTCTTACCTCTTGCATCAAAAACCCAACGAACACGCGTTCCCGTGAACGTGAGGTCGTTCTTGCCCTCATGGCCAACAGCGAAGTGTTCCTTTATCTTCTTGAGGAACCAAGTGAGGAGTTCAGGGGTTCCACTTATGATGAGATCATCAACATGAAGACTCATCACTCCAACTGTCTTCCGGCCTTTACTCGGGCTACCACGCACAAGATCAACGAAGTGTTCAAGAAGCTGATCACAACCAACTCGGGAGAGAGCTCAGAGAGACTCTCGACCTTGTGCGAAGCCTTCTCTGGAAGGAACAAAGAGACCAGAACCTCAGCTTCCTCTTCCAGGAAACAGGTCTTGTCACCCTTGTCCAACCTCAGGTCATGGGCCCTTTCAACAATCCACCATGTTCCTTGACGAGGGATCATCGAAACACGACAAGGGTAGTCCTTGACATGAAGGGCAAGCTCCTTGAGGTAGGCAGGTTCCACCTCAAGTGAGGTGCTTCCTGCCTCAGGTTCCTTCTCCTGAGAGAAGCTTCCTGCTGCAAGGTGGCTTTTACCCTTCTTGCCTTCGATGCCGTCGTATGCGACATAAGTGCATCGGTCAGCTCTAGTCGGTTCCATGCCAACGGACCGGGGGAATTTGTCCAATCGATTCCACCATCTTCTCGGTGCATCGTTCAGATCATAGACCGGTCGAAGGCACAGCCCGACCATCCAAGTTGGCAGGCCGATGTCAGGAGGCAACTAGACCACAACCATTCGAGATGACAGATTGTAGTGTTCCCCCTGAAGGAAAGCGGTCTTAAGATCCAAATGAAAAAGGTCCCATAGTGATTGGCAACACACTGCGCAGCCAAACGGAAACCATATCGAGTTGCCGTAGGGCTGTCCGTTTTTTGATCCCAGGCAAACTTGTCCTGAAACCCACGACAAACCCAATGCGCTTTGAACTTAGAAAAGTAAACAGTTTTGTCAACCTTCACCGTGAGGACCCAACGTCCGGTAAGAAAATTGACATCACGACCGAGCTTACGGCGGTCCGTGAGCCGAATAGCATCGTTGTCCAAGTAACTCTTGAACTCTTCAAGCTTAGCCGCACGAATTTCCGCGGCATACTTGCGCTACATTTCCGGCGGCGTCAAGGTACCTGCCTTGATCTTGTCTTTCTTGGTCAACCACGACGCAAAACCATCACCATCCAACGGAAAAACAGAAGGAACTTGGAGGTCCGACGGAAGGCGGATCAAGGCGTCATCGTCGCCAACAGCCAAGGCAAGCAAACTCTCATCACGATAGCCAACAGTGGCGTCAGAGTCCGTATCCCCGCCAGCTTCCGGCACCGGCGGTTCCGGGGTGGGTTCCGGGTGGGGTTTGCTGAATGGGAAATTCCCCCTCAGTCACTGGCAAACCAGGAACCGGAGCCGGATCAGAAGACGAAGACGCCGGTTCATCAGGAACCGGGAAGTCACCTGAAGAATCAGGATCCTTCTTCCACTGACTGACCAGGCAACAACACAACCGGAGGTCCCACGACAGTACGCGACTGGGCCTTGGATGTATCATCCGGATGAACACCACGAGCACGCGTCTGAGACACATTGCGCGGTGAAGGCGGTCGCATACTTTGCGGCACCGGAAAGTGTGGATGCGGGCGGAATAGGAACAGGAACAATAGGTGAGGGTGGTGCCGTGGACTAAGAACCTGATCCGGGTTCGCTCGCCATCTCAACCTGGTACAGGTAGGGTCACCGCCAACATGAAGCTCAACAGGATCATCATCTAGATCCTGCTCAGGCTGCTGAGGCGGCACATATCGCCGTGCGGATCCTCGTACCCAGGACCCAGGATAGTCCACATCATGGTCATTGGCCGGTGGTTGCGGTACAACCGGAGCCGATGCTGGCTGGTCCGTGAAATCCAACCCAACATCAGGCCCTCTTCTAGAACCAACTCCGCGAGTTTCGCTCCTGAAAACTATCATCGACCATTGCGTAGACTGCATATCTTGAAGACAAGGAAGCCATTGCGCCATCGTCAAGAAAAACACATGATCCATTTCACCCTTCTGCCACAAAATCACAACAGCATCAGGATGTCTATGAACCAAAGGAAGTGTTTTCCCGTGAGTCCCCCTGTAGACATTACAGTACTCAAACTCCAGGTAAGGAAGAGTTAACACCCGCACATTCTTAATCATGGGTCGCAAGGCGACCGCATCAGCCGATGTGGTGGTGTGAACTTCCAACTCAGTACCCGGAAGAAAACTGTCAACGTAAGACAGGGTTTGAACCAAAGACGATGTCACAAAACGCTGTGGGGCGACAAACCGCAGAGGTGACGGACGCTTGCCCTGAGAGCAAAGAATACTCTTCATCGGAGGGAAGAGCCGGCAAGGCCTCTGAATTTCTGTCTGATGGCAAACACAACGCACACAAAGTTCCATCATCAAAGTCCTCAAAGATATCTTCGAATAATACGACTGTATGAGATCTGAACGCTCATCACCAACAAGACACCGAGACAGCAAGACAGCAAACCTAGGATCAAGAACACAACACACAACACCAGAACCGTGCGGAACTAAATATCATGGCAAACCTAGTACACCTGCAGTAATTAACCAATACGCTTCTGGGAGAGCCTGTACAGGGCGAGGCCGTTGTTCATCCGTTCCCCCCCCCCCATAGAAACAACTGACTCCCTCTCTCTCTTTCGCGGTGTCTCGATCTCACTCGCATTGCGTGCCAAGTGCCAATGATCGCAAACACCGCTGGAGCCTCCTGTGCGAGTGGGCCCTGAGCCCCACCTTGTGGAGCAGCGCAAGCGCCGCAAGCGCCGCAAGAGGCTGCTCTGCCCGTTTGCCGGGGTGCGGACGGCGCTGAGGCCAAAGCCGAGGAGGGAGAAACCCAGTGCGCCTGCGAGACGCCAGAGCCAAACAGCCCCAAATGTTGCGTAATTTCCGGCGCCCGCGGCACCTCTCTCTCTGCCTCTCTCTGGCGCAGCTCCCTGAAGCCGGGCAGCGCGGGTCTGGCCGGTGGCACAGCGCGCGGCGGACTGGAGGAAGAGCAGGGCTTCCACAGAAACGTGGTATTGCCCTTTGAGTGCCAGGCGAGCTCCAAGGGCAGAGGCTCCATTTGAAGGGGCTGAATTCCCGCTGCTAACCCCCAGTGGGAGGGCCCCCAAACTTCTGAGCCGCTCCAGAGATGGGCGCCACGCAATTCCGCATCAGCCAGGAACTCCAACAGTCTCGCTCGAATTCCTGTGAAGAGTCTGTCTTGCTCTGCGTTCGCGTGTCTCTTTCGGAGTCCGACTCAGTTCTGAGACGGAGAGACTGAGAGGCCTTCGGCTTTGCAGGAGCTTGTGCCTGCACTCTCGAGCTCAGATTTGGAACACTTGGGACGGGCAGGAGGGACCTCAGTCTCACGGCTCTCACGGCTCTCACGGTGCAGGGAGCTGGGCCAAAGCTGGGCCCTCGCACTGCTGGCTGCTGGGCGCAGCAAGAAGGACGGGACCTCCATGGCAAGCTCGAGGCTCGTTCGCTCGTTTTCTATGCCGAAGCGGACGAGTCTGAGAAGGCTCTGAGCCTCTTCGACCTCCTCGTGGCTCACAGCGAACTCCTGCGCTTCTGCTCTTGGCCCCGCCGCCGCCCCCGCCGGCCTCTCCCTCTCTTTCTTTCTCGCTCGCCCGCCTTGAGCACCGGAATCATCGCCTCAGCTCGGAAACTCCCCAACACAGAAGCTTCCGAAGAGCTTTCCTTACTGGGCGCGCAGCGACGAAGTCGCAGGGCTGGAACCTTCTATTCTGGCAACACAAAAACCCTCCCCCCTCCCCTCGAAGCTGACCTCGAGCCATCCGACTTCCGGGGTGGGGCGCCTGAGAGCGTGAGGTTTGAGCTCTCTGTGCTTCAGGCTTCCTTCAAAGGCAGCCTCGTCGGCCATCGCTCTGGCTCTGGGGCTCGCAGAGCTCCAAGGGAGGCTCAGCCGAGACCTGGCCCTCGGCCGACTCGGCCCCTTCGGCCTCAGCTCAAGAGCACTGCACAGACTGCACAGACTGCACTCTTTGCTCTGCTTCGGCGTCTTCAACGGGATCTCCGTCGGCTGCAGGGGAAGCGAAGTCGGATTCGGGGCCTCCGCCTGCCCAGTGTTGCGGCGTGTTACGCGGAAAACCCCTCGGCCCTCGACCCCTTTTGCCCCCCCCCCTGCCTAAAGGAGCCATGTCGGCAACCCTGGTGCAGATCCAGCCACGTGACGAACCCCGATAGACCTCCACAGCACCTCAGACTCGCCAGAGCCCTCAGAGTGCTGTGATCCCTTCGAGAGCACCTGGCCTTGGCTTTTTCCTCCAAAAAACACATTATCATTATATCTGGTTTCAGGCGGCCTGCTGAGCTCCCTGCTTCCCTTGAGGAAGCGCCGCCTGAGGTAGGAGGCCTGTGGTCGCTTCAATGCGGGAACGGCCCCTTGGGAGTGCCCTAGCACGCCTCTGCAACGGCCACGGCTTCTTGGCCGTAGACACGCACCTCCGGGCGAAAGGAGCCAAGAAAGGAAAGAGATGGCATCCTGTAGAGTTCGCGGGGGGCCGCCTTGTAATGCCGGAGGAGTGCCGTGGTGGCCTGAAACAAGGCAAGCGCTTCATCGCCAAAGAGCTCCCCCAGGGCGGGTGCCTCGAGGCCATCGACCTCTGCGAGGAGCCACTTGAAAGAGCTCCTGGACCTGTCAATAGACGCTGCTGCGCGACTGCTCTGCTCACAGCCTCCCACGAAGTGCCCCCCGGCCAAAGCTCCACAGGCTCGCCGACCTGCAGGGGCCTCAGCGCGGCGCGGTGCGCGGGGCAGCGCGGCGCCGAGTCTCTGGGCTTCCGGACGCCCGCAGCAGCTCTAGGGGAACGTGCGGACGTTCCTGAGCCCTCCAGCGGCCCTTCAACGTCACCGCGTACGACACTTTCCTGAGCGAGCTGAGATGAGAGCAAGACAGCGAGAGAGCGGACTATTCGGCACGGTCGGCCCTCTGTTGATCTTTTCTCCGACGCGCTGTCGTGTGAGTGGGCTTTGGCTGCTGCGCTCCACCTCCTGCCCTGGCTTTTGCCAAGGCAGCTGCATGGGTGGCTCGCAGCTGGGCTCGTCATCTGCGCCCATCCACGGGTGTCGCTCCCGCCGGCCCTTCTGGGCCACGGGGGGCCACCAACGGACACAGTCTCCTGCAGTACAACAGCGGATTGAGGAAAGAGTCCGAGTCCGAGCATCCCGCGAGCATCCCGCATGGGCCGCATCTTGCCAAGTTGCAGCAACAGTGTCTGCACGTGGTGCCGAACCTCGACGCACCGCCCAACATTCGCTATTTGGCAATGCTACGCAGACGATTTGTTCCTGCCTCCGGCGACGGCACCGTCACCAGGCGGGCCAGCACCGGGAAAATCTGCGGCAAGTACCTCCGCTTTTTTTTCGGGTGACGAAGGCCACGAGCTTGCGAAGGCTTTCGACACCTCAGCAGCGTCTTCGTGGGCAGCTCTTCGAGGTCTGGCAGAATGAACTCTGCCACCGCCTTAGACGCTGAGGGACACGATACGCTTTGAGAAAATACGCAGTGCATTTGCCAGCAAAGGCACCGTCGCCATTTTCGAGTCACCTTGGAGCCAAAGCAATTCTGGACACGTCCGCAAATTCGGCCGCCCACCTTGCTGGAGCTGGCCAGTCACCTTCTCGCACACAGGCTCTACCACGCTCTCGATGACCTGGCGGCCGCGATTTCTCACGAACTAGCAAAACAGCTGGACATGCTGGACATGACACTCCCACCTTGGACCAGGTCGCAGCGTCGAAGCTCTTGGCACCCACGTCACGCAGGCATTGGAAAGCCTGCAAACATAGAGAGAAAAACCATCGTCTCTATTTGCCTGGAAAGGAGAATCTGCTTTGATTGAGCTCTGGCCGGGGTGCGGTGACCGTGGCTCGAACTGAAACTTCTTGCCGCAGGTCGCCGATCATAGATGTCATTCCGTTCAGCAACAACAGCCAGTCCTGCAGTTAGCTTTGAGTGCCAAAACCGTACAGGTTCTGAACTCAGCATCAGCTTTTGGTAAGCAGCAAAGCCCCTCTAGGACTGTGGCGGTACTGTTAGACGCGCAGCTTGAGGCGCATAGACGCCAGGTCGACGCCTATTCGCTCCTCGGCCTCGGCGGTCTGCGTCCCGCTTCCCGACTGAAGGTCATCGGCCATCTGCCTGCGGCACAGCGGATGGCCCGAGCATCGCAGAGCTGAGCAGCTCAGCGTTGGCCGCAGGAACATTCCGCCGGGATGTCTTGCTGTCTTCATCTTTCGAGGAGGGGTCGGGATCTCCAAGGGTCCGTGCCTCAACATCCCCAGGGCTTGGAAGCTGATGGCAGCGAAGCGACAGTGGCCGAAAGCCAGCAGAGCATGCACGCTCTTCGCAAAGTTCCTGCGAGCAGAGCATTCTTTGCGAAGTAGGGAGGAGGGGGCTCTTCTCGGCTCTTGAGGGCTCTCCTCTTGTCCAGGTGGCACCTCGAAGCCACGGCGATCTTCATGATCGCAAAGGCCGCATCCAAGACTTCCTGCGGCCGGGGCGGCCGGGGCGGCTCGGAGGCAGAGAGCTGCAGAGAGCTCTGAGCTCTGGCCTTGTTGGACTTGGGCTCCGAGGCCGCCAGCTGCAGGATCTGGAAGACCTCCCAAAATTAGGAGCAAAGCGGAGGGAGGCAGGGAGGCTCGGAGGCTCGGAGGCTCGGCGCTCCTGCGCCCAGCCCGCTTTGATGGAGCTGCTCCGGTGCTCCACCTCTTTGAAGGGCACTGTTGCTCTGCTGCTCTGCTTTGCTTTTCACCAAAGCTCCCCCCCCCGGCCATGAAGTCGACACTCGACACGACGAGCCCCTGCGGCAGAAGTCCACAAGACATGCTCGCGTCGGTCTCTCCATCGCAAAGCGCAGCACTTGCACGTGGCCTTCACGTCAGGGCTGGCACTCTTGGATTTCATTAACTTCTCGAAAGGCTCCAGCAAGACTTGCCCAAAGGCTTCCTCTCCGGCAGCTCACGACGCGACGCCATCTGTCGCAAGGCAAAGAGCGCAGCCGTCCTGCTGATGCACTTCCTCACGTTCCAAAAATTTCATCGCTAGCTGCTTTAAGCAGTTGATGGCATAGAGACCTGGAAGACTGGCACAGCACCAGAGCAGATTACCAGGTACCAAGCGCAAAGCAGCGAAGCCCCACGCCTATACTGACATTATGATGGCTTGCCACGTCGGCTAGATGCCGGCTGACAGTTCGCCAAATTTCCGACCAAACCTGCTAAGGCGGGTTGCAGGCAATGGATGACGGCATGGTAATCATGGTTGTCGCTGCATGAAGGCATTGCCTCCGGCGGGCGCATCAAGTTACCGATGGAAACCTGACGGAAGTGAGCAAAGCCCCGGGGCCACAAAGCTGTTTTGTCAAGCATAGAGGCCCACAAGCTGCTTAAGCCGAGAGGAGGCAGAGAGGACTCTTTAGCTTCGTCGCCTCGACCAACTTCTGCAACGAAAAAATGCCTCGCAAGGGTGAGTCTCGCGGCCCGATTGCAGTTTTCGCCCTTTCCCCAGGCTCTGGCGAGGCATCTCTTCACAGGCCAGCTCCTCCTGAAGGAGGCATGGGAGAGAGAGAGAGAGCGCGAGCGTAGAAGGAAAAGGACGCACGGTCTCACATCGCCCTGGGCCCGTTCCGCCTTGGAGACCTGCAGCAACAGCGGTGCTACAGCTTCGGCAGCTTCGGCTCGGGGCCGGTCGGGTCCCAGCCTGGATGAGCTGGCTGAGGAAGTGCAGCACCGCCTTCAGCTCCAAGCCTGCGGACCTGGCCCAGGCGACTCGATCGGCGCCAGGTCCCTTGGCCCGTCTCCGAACTTTCGGCCTGTCAAAGAGCAGGTCGATCTGCGCCGCATCGATCTGTGCCATGACGGACTCGGCATTCAGCAAATCCAGGCGCGACTCTTCCGGGCTCACCGTCATCACGGCCGAAAAACCTCGCAGTGAGAGAGAGAGAGAGAGAGAGAGAGAGAGAGAGAGGAAGAGAGGAAGAGAGAGAGAACAGAGAGAAGAGAGAGAAGAGGGAGAAGAGAGAGAAGAGAGAGAAGAGAGAGAAGAGAGAGGAGAGCGACAGCTAGTTGGAACCAGAAGACTTCAGCAGAGCAGAAAATCAGTTGTTCACTCCCTTCCGCCTTCCCCTTCAAGCCTTCCCCTCCCTCGTCCGCCCCCTCCGCTTGCTTCTTCGCCTGGCCTGTGCCGTAGGAGCGGTGCCGGAGGCTTGCCTGATGGGGTGTGCCAGCGCTGCCGCCGAAGCTGCCGTTGGTGGAGCCGTTCTTCGCCTCTTTGGCAAAGAACTGGAAGTCCTTTAACAGCCAGAAAGGGTTCAGGCCCACAGCTCTCTGCTCTTTGCCCTCCAAACTCTCCTTCCTCTTCTTCTTCCCTGTCCTTCTTTCTTTCGCAAATGTCTTCTTCTTGTTCATCTTCTTATTCTATATCCTGCTTCTTCTTATCCTCCCTCCCCCGATCTCTCTCTCTCTCTCTCTCGCGCTTCCAGGTGTTTCTTTCTTGTGACCCGCCAGGCATCACAAAGTTCTTCATGGCTCAAATCTCCAAAGAGGGCTTCGATGGCATCGTCAGAGGGCCATCTGACCTCCCCCTCCGCAGCGAGATGTCCACCAAAGGCAATGTCGGGAATGGAAAGGGCCAGTGGAATTCGGACTGAAGCACAAGCCCCAACTAAGGCATGCGCAGAAGCGCCACGTCCTTCTGATCTGCAGATTGGCAAATTGCCACCTGAACAAGCGAACGCCGATGTTGTGGAGTCGGGGCTACAGTACGAGACCATCGACAAAAGCCGGAGGAGTTGGATAGACGGGGGGAGTGAGTCGCGATGTTGAGGAGTTTGAGCTTGAGAATTCTTTGCACTTGCTGCCACAGCATAGTGCGAAGATGAAGGAGTTGCTTCTGCAACTGTTCAATCTCGAGGACCCTGAGACTGCAGTGCCAAGGACTGCAGATCGCTGGTTGGTTTTGCCTCGATATTGGGTCAGATTGCACCATGAATGGCGTGGCTGTTGCTTCCATCCTGATGATGCAAGCTCCTCCTGGACTGCTGGGTGGCTGCTTGTGGGGTAATCGGTACACAATGTGCTTGCTTCGAGTGACCCGGACATGATAGACTCCGGCCATCGAAATGAGTGGGCAGACATCTAGATGCCTGATGGCACGGTGAAGAAATGCACGGACCCTAGAGGCCCTCCTGGACATAAATGGAATGGTAGAAACTGTTTACGCCACTTGACCGCCCTACTGCTGGTGAGAATGCCGAGCAACCGACCGACGACAAAAGTGCATCGAAGCTGAAAATGATCACGGTTCCTGGTGAAGCTTCGTCGGAGAATGAACGGCGACTGCACGAACTGACTGACTCACCTGCTTTGCAAGGATTGGTGCCTGCACTGTTTGAAATCGAAACTCAAGCAGAGTCACGCAGTGAAGAAGAAGGATCCATGGCGACCGAGAATGATCTGCCGAAGAGGACCGTGTTGAATGCCACCCGATGTCCAGACTTGGTATGCAAGGGCGGTAGTGCTGCCTTCGAAAGGCAGCATTGAAAAATACCCATGGCCGAATTGAGAAAATTTGTCTTTTCAGTTGGATGGACTTTCCGGCAATGTCGAATATGACAAGGAAGCGCCACTGAAGTCAATGGCGCGTGCTGCGCAGCCAAGGCAGTGTTGGGAATGCCCAAGGACAACTGAGGACGCTAACTGCTGCCCCAAGATGAAGAATCGACTGGTTTCAAGTTGAGCTCGGAATCGCCAATGTTTACGTGGGCTGTGAAGCATGCCCAGGGGTTTGTCAACCATTACTTGATTGGCACTGACGGCAAGACTGCCTACAACCGTCGGTGGAATCGAAATTGTGGTGGACACTGTGCATGTTGGGTGAGTTACTGATGCAAAGGTGCCGCCCGTGAGTGGAAAGGTGCGTGTTCCCAAAGCAGGATCACAATGGTTCACTGCGTGTAACTTGGAAAGGACATAGAAGCTGATGAAGTGATGCTTGGGAATGCTAGTTGTGTCTTCAAGGTCCGCACTGTGAACGGAAGGTCCTCCTCAGCAGTGGAATGCAACTTGTCCTGCAGAAGAATGCCTAATGAACCGTGAAGTGAGATCGCATTGAGCCGGCAAATGAATTCAGAAGTGCAAAATAAAGCGAATGCCGCATGTTTTTGGGCAAAATGAAGTTTGAATTGAAGTCGTGAGTGGGTGTTTTCTTTGGTGAGTAAAGACTGAAGTTCTCGGATTCAATGGATCTGAACCCCGACTACCCGCGATTGCTTTGTACAGTGCAATCAATCAGCCTCCAAGGTTTTCATCAATGATCGGAATGTCCTCCGGGTCGAGCCACAAAGCCCAGAACGAGTCCAACGGCCTTCGCAGCTTTGATTGATTGTTGTTCACGGCTTTTCCTCGTTTCGCGACTAATGCTTCCCAAGGGCTACATGTTTGAGTGATCTTGGACTAAAGTCAGTGAGGATCAAAGGATTGTGTGAAATGACATGAGTCCAAGAATGCACTTAATGCACATGATGCATTTATGAATGCTTTGATGTCGAATGGCAGTGGCTCAAGACTGGGAAACCGGCTGGACGTTATAAAGGAATATCTGCTTGACTGCATATGTGTGTGTAACTGGGGAAAGTGATTGATCGTAGTTGCTCGGGTAAGTGTAGATTATGTACAGTGTAGCTCATGTGCTCTCTGTCTCCCTCGGGACTGGTCCAAGTCCCTGGCTTCAAAGCCCACCCAATACGTTGATTGGGTTTTCGAGGAGTGAGGAACGAACATTGTGCATCCAATGGGCTAGAGCCATAAAGTATAGGATGAATGACGAAGGATGCACGTATGTTCTCAGTGACATTGTACTCCACCTGCTTGTGTTCCTTGACGGACAAGGTAATTATCACCACATCCATACGGTAAGATACAATGTTCCGAAAGTCTCCAAGGAACAACATTCCCCCCGCTTTGCAAGTCTTGCCTGATGTTCTGCAATTCATTAGCATCAGGAGCTTCCCCGAATTGCAGTTCACCTCATGCTCAAGGCCAGTGTCGATTTCAATCGGCCCCCGATACACGTAGCACCTTTGGTCTGGCCTTTTCCTGATGTTGTTGTCAAAAGGCTATGCAATATTTGCAGCCATCCCTGTCGTTTGATGCACAGGCACAGCGATACTGGACTCCCTGAGGGGACAAACAAGATGTCTGGCCCAGTGTCTCGTGGCGGGATGGCTGTGACAGCAGATAGATGCACTCGCATGTCGGGCGACAACATGATAAGCAACTGAAGAAGCCGTATGTGAAAGACAATGAACCCAACCATATCAACATTACATACGTATGCGCACATGCCATGCCAAAAGTCCTGGGGCCAGAAATTGATTTGGTAATTTATTCTTAGTTTTTGTGGGAATCTTTTTTTTTGGCTGCGTGCTTGGCCTAAAGCATAGGAAAGCAGCATGTTTTCCTGCATTTTATAAGGGAAAACACTATTTCCGTACATTTTGGATGGAATCCTGTGTTTTTCCTAGGAAAGACGCTACTTTCCTAAGGATGATTTGTTCTTTCCTTCGGTTTTGCTTGGTAGTAAAACACTATATTCCTACTGATTCTGTCTCATGTTCTGAGGTTTTGCGACCTCAAGAAACACAGCAGGATCTGCTGAAACCGTTGACTGGGGGTTTAAGCTTTCATTTGGAAGATTTCGGCATTTATGTAGGGTTAGATGCCGAGAGGCCGAAAAGCCAAGAAGCCAAGGAAGCCAAAAAGACAAAACCCCGTACGAGACAAGAAGGCAATATGCTCGAAGCCATGACAGTATGCTCGAAGCCATGACAACATAAGAAGTTGAAAGGTTGAAAAGGGGGCGCATTTTACTTGATCACTTTTCTTGTTTCTTGGTTTGTTTTATTCTGTCTTCAGGGTGGGGGAAACAGCCCACTTTGCTGCAGCCGAACGCAAAATAACATGATATAGTACAATATAACGCCCTATACAAATGAGACACTATATTATAGGGTCCCCCGTTTTGATATTATAATATGATGCAACATGATAAAAAATAATGAAATAAGACATAAAACATTATAACTTACTTAATCTAATGTAAAATAGCATAACATAACATAACATAACATAACATAATAGGACACAATAACACATAATATAATACTATTACTACATGATGAAACATTAATCATACTGATACAATGGAATAATGTACGCAATATATAATACAACATTCTATGATAACGTAATGGAATGTGATATAATATAACATAGAACAATACAATATACACACGTTAATACAACTTCCTGAAATATAAAGTATAACATGATAATATATGATATAATATGATATGATGCGATATAACATGGGATAACTTTATCTGATATAACAACATAAACTATAACATCATGTAGTATACTAATATACTATCATATGACAAAATATTCTACAGTATACTAAAAGATGACATGCTTTGATACGACTCGACATACTTAGAATATCATGATATAGTACAATATAACACCCTATGACATAAAATAAAACAAAACAATGACGCACCCCCGTTTGCAAACAGAATGCCTTTATGATGAGCTTTGAAAAGCTCTAAAACAGCTTTGTGTTTGATGCAAGTCTTGTTCATGATGCGATGTTCTTGAAAACAAGCCTGCGCGGCTTAAAGAGAAAGCGGGGGGGGTTGGGGAGGGGCAGCCCCCCTCCATTGGCAAATACAACGTCTTTATGGTGGGTTCTGAGAGGGTCCATATGAGGTTCTGTCTTTGCTGGCAAGTTGATACCTGAAGGGACGCACCTCCCAAATTGGAAACAGAATGCTTGTATGATGAGGCTTGGAAAGCTCTAAACCAATTTTGTGTTTGGTGAAAGTCTTGTTCATGGTGTAATGTTCTTGAAACCAAGCCTGCACGGCTTAAAAAGAAACCGGGGGGGTTGGGGGGGGCGCACCCCCCCCCACTTGCAAACACAACGTCTTTATGACGGGTTCTGACAAGGTCCATATGGGTTCTGTCTTTGCTGGCAGGATGATGCTCGAAGCGACTTTGCTCAGTTTAAAAGCATGTGAATATAAATATATTTTAACATGACATAGCACAATGTAGTATAACATAATATAATATACATTAAATAGATCATATAATACAATATAATATAACATGACGAATACATTAAAAATATGGATATATATATATATATATAAATCAAATGTGATATGATATACTATGGTACATTGTCAAAAACTTGAATATAGTATAACTTAGTCTATTGTGGTATATTAGAAAACAGCAAGAATATGATACAATCTGATCTAACATGATATAATATAATGTCGTAGCATATAATATCCTACAGAACAGTATAATATGATAGCATATAATACATTATACTAGAAGATAATACACTTTACTTTACATATATATATATATGTAATTTAATATAACATAGTATATTATAATACACGAAGCTATAAAAAGTTCAAAGGCCAAGAAGCCGAGTGGCCGAAAAACCAAGCACCTCTGCTCACCTTTGCTTCGAAAGGTATATTTATCACCTTCTATACTTACTATACATCCTGAAAACTGGACCAGAAGTCCAGGGGCTGCACCGGACCAGGGGACCAAGAAGACCAAGGGACCAGGGGACCAGTGGACCACGGGACCAGAGGGCCAAGGGGCCAGAAAAAAAGGGAGACAAAAAACAAACAGGGCGTGAAGAAATACGCCCAGGAAGCTACACAAAGCTAGAAGGCAAGATGCTCCGAAAGCCAAGAAGCCAAGGAAACCAGAGAGCCAGCAAGCCGTGCAAAACGAGAAGGCAGTATGCTCCAAGTTACGATACTAGAAGAAGTCGAGGGTGCATCGAAAAGCCAAGAAGCAACGAAAACGAAGAAGCCATGCACGACGGGAAGGCAGGAGAATCGCACGCGCACGCACACAGACCAAAAAAAATACCAAAAAAAGAAAAAAAAATCCCAAAATAAATACGCCTCCAAAGTCCTGCGACCAGTTTGTTTGATGTTGCAACAAGGAGACAATGTAGCTAGAGGCCCTACGGGGCAAAGCGTTCTAGTTCATCTTCAATAGCTGGTTCAAGCTTCTGCAAACAAAAGGAGCTCTGTACTAGTGCATACCGATGGCCTCTGACGATCTCTAAGCAACTGCTGTAACATGCAACACAGCCTGCGACATACCAGGCAATACCGGGTGGAAAACGTCACTCATCCTCGGCTCACTGCATTCGAAGCTCACGATGTGATTGAGGAGAGAAGTTGGCAGCATAAGAGTATTTATCCAGTCTAGGCACAACTTCACACGAAGCAAAGGCAAGTGCAACATCGCGGCCCTTCCCCCTCCAACTCTCTCACGTATCTACGGAAGCCACACTTGCAGAATGTCAAGCACCGCGGATACAAAGGATGCAGAGCCACAGCTTAGTACTGTGGCTTTTTCGCTCTGAGGACAGCTGGGTTTATATCGAGTTTCCCCCGACTCGATTTGCAAGAAGCAAAGACACAGCATTTATGTGAAAACTTAAAGGGAACCTCTTCACAGGCATATTGTTCTTTCCCCAACGTGGCGTTCCCCCTCAGGTCATCTCGGAGGGGCCCGTGACGGTCGAAGAACAGTCGCCGACGTCGGTGGAGCGTGGACTTTCGCTTTCACTCTCCATGGCTTCAGTTGGGCTCCTCCGATCCGTACCGGGCGCGTTTTCCAAGCCGTGGTGCCGTTCATGCAGCCACCATGCTGATTCTCTCTCTCTCTCTCTCTGTTTGCTTGCACTCAGCCAAAGAGGCATCCCCTCTCACGCGCGGGCGCGCACTGGTCTCTGCTTCGTGTGGTGAATGGTCTCCCCCGTTTGAACGAGGCGCTGGCTTGCTCCCGTTAATCCCCCCTGTTCTTTAGCCTAAGTAAAACTGAGCTGTTCTGTGCTCAAAAACGCCGTCCGGTAGGTTCCCCCCGCGGTCGCAAGCACCAGCAGCTTTGCTCTACTCTGCGACACTTTCTGCAACTGTAGTTGAAGACAACAGCGACTCGACAACGCTGCTAACACTGAGGGCCGGACCATCATGCTTACACGACTGTCGCAGGTATTTCGGGCTGTCTCTCTCTCTCTCTCTACCGGGCGTGAGGGTAGAGCAGTGTTCAGGCTCTAACCCTCGTGCGAGTCCGCGCACCCGCGTTTCGCGGGCTTTCTTTGTTCCCCGTGAGGGTTGTTCCTCTACGGGGCTCGGCTTTATTTACAGGAACGCAGGGTCACAAAGACGCGGCAGTAAGTTTCACAGAGGTCAGTTCGGAGCAAGGAGCCTTTCCCCACTGTGCCAGCTCTCCCTCCAGCTCACCCTCCCCCTCTTTTTCAAACAAACAAGCAACAGTACTGCACGTGCAAAACGACTGCAGGAGCTGAGGGCCGGGCCAACCTTTGAGCTGCGGTGGTACAAGCAAAACAGGCTGTATCACAAAGAGAGTTACATCCCCCTAGAGCTCCGGCTGGCAGTGCTGACTACTGTGGCGCTTGTCCCCTGCCGAGAACCTTGGGTGCGGGATAGGGCAGGAACTGAACTAAGGTAAGTTTTCAGGAGTGGTTCCCCCCCCCAGGTTCTCAGTAGGGTCCATGTCGGCCGTAGTGCACCGCTTGCAGTCTGCGGCTGTCTCTCTCTTTCTCTCTCTCTCTCTCTCTCTCTCTCTTTCTCTGTCTCTTCTCTCTCTCTGTCTCTTCTCTCAGATAGCTTCAAAGGAGGGTTTTGTGTCGGGAACCTGGCCTGCAGGGCGCGCGTCCTCAGCAGCTGCAGGCGCTCGAGCTGGGAGATGCAGTGGAGCACGTACTGCCAGGAGGAGCCCAAGTTGTTGCCCTCCGAAATACCAATGGCCATGAGCACGCGGATGCACTCAATGTTCTTCTGCCTCATCCTGAGGGATGTCTGGAGAGTGACTGATGCGACTTGCGACTCTCTTTTGCTCTGCGCCGAAGGGCTCTTTAAGAGTGGTCAGGTAAGTGAACTTGGCCAGCGAGGACACGATGGCGTCTGGACACAGCTCAAGAGGTGCTGCCGGGGAGCACGGCCAAACTTAAACTACACAGAGGTCACTCAGCCTCGCTCCACATCCATCTGCATGCCTCAAACGTCACAGATCAACTTCCAGTGCTATCTCATCCCCTGCAGTCTCTTGCAGTCGGGCAGCGTGCTGCTGCCCGGATGCACTGTTGGAAGCCGGTAATACAAAGCTCAATACACTCGGGTTCTTCTTGCGTTTCCAGGACGACGGAAAGCCTCAGTAGGTCAGTGAGTGCGGCAGAGTGCCAAATCCTTGCGATTGAGGGTCTGACGAGGCGAGCATCGGCCAGCAAGCGGCCTCGAACAAAGTCCGCGCCAGCGACCGGACATCGGCGCCCCGCAGGCTCAATGACCGCACCTCACCTTGCAAAAGCTCTGATTTTCCTCGACGGCAAGGGACGAGAGCGAGACCTTCCGATGCCATCGTCTCCTCGGCCTTGGCCACCAGCTTCCAGGCCTTGCACGACAAAAGGATGAGAAGTCCAGGGCCTCAGGGATCCAGCCTCTCGCAAGAAGAGCTCCCCCTTCTGTGCCGCACTCCGCGCGGCTTGAGACCTTCCAAAATCACACGCTAGTGCTGCGATGCGTTTCGATGCTGTTAGGGCCGCGGGCTCGGCACGCACCCTCGCGTCCTGTCAAAGTCAAGCACCGTACAAGTGATGTGTGCGCAGTCACATGATACCGCATGGCTTGCAAAATCCTCGTCTTCTTGAAGGGAAAAAGGGCTTTTCAAGACCTCGGGACTGCGCTATCACAGGCTTCGCTGTGTGCTTTTCGACATCAAGCTGCGATGTCGTATAAGGCTTCCAGGTATTCCTCAAGCACGGAGAACAGGGCGGCAAGGCAGCACAGAGAAAGGAGTCTTCGCAGACGCATACCGGCGGCCTGTGGCAGGTCTTTGCCGCCGTCAATGCCGCGATTGTTGCTGATGAACTGAGCCTGCAGTGAGAAAGGGAGTCTTCTCAAGTATTGGCCAAGTCTGAGAGTTCCCCAAAACCTTGCCTTTGTCATCCGGTCCTGCTTCGACTTCGAGCCAGTCGCAATTTCCCAATACTGCTTCCATGTCGCCAAGCTCCTTCTCCTTGATGGATGGCTTATGAAGAGACGTCTGCAACATCATGACCTGACGCAAGCTCTTTGCAAGGGATGCGTTCGAACTCCGATTTCTGAGAGCCATGCTGAATAGGCTAGTACGTAGACGCAATCCTCATCGGAGAACCTTCACACCGGACTACCAGGCCGCCGCAGTCAAGGACGAGTCGCTGTGGGCGGCTCCTCCCGGGATTGTCTTTGCAGTACTTCGCGGCGAAGTGCTGCATCAGCCGGTCGATCTTCTGACCCTCCCCAGGCAGCCTCCGAAAGGCGGAGCCGGCGGGCTTGGCTTGGGGCTTGGCCGGCTTGGCTTGGGGCTTGGGGCTTGGGGAACCCTGCCTGAAGACAGCCAGGAAGGCACGGAGGGCCTCGTCGAACTCTTGCTTCCTGAGATGACGCAAGACGGGCAGGATCGCTCTCTCTCTCTCTCTCTCTCTCTCCCTCTCTCCCTATCCTTGTCTTCTTCTTCTGCAAGGGCTCTTCCTCTTCGCCAGGGCTATGGTGGAGGGTTGTGCTCGGGTTCCCTCTCTCTCTCTCTCTCTTTATCTTTATCCTTCTCTGTCTCACTCTCTCTCTCTCTCTCTCTCTCTCTCTCTTCTTTTCCTCCGCAAGGGTTCTCTTTTTATCTCTCTCTCTCTCTCTCTCTCGCTCTCTCTCTTGCTTGCATGCGGACAAGGAGAGAGCACCCCCGCCCGCGCGAGAGAGAACGCGCACCGAAGTCTTTGTCCTCTGTGGCTCACGATTCGATGAGGCTTGGACTGAACCTCTCTCTCTCTCTCTCTCTGCTGATGCTGACGCACTCACTTGTCTGCCCTGCCCTGTCCGTCTGTGGGCATCTCTCCATCACTGTCCGTCTCCATCCACCACGTCTCTGGCATCATCGCTTCCCCTCGCCGGTTTCCCTGGGCCCTCCGACGCGAAGTCAAAGCTCTCGAGCAGCGCATCCAGGACCCTCTTGTTGAAGGCCTTGTCCTCTCCAAGGGCAGTGGAAGAGAGGGAGAAAAGAGGAAGAACAAAGGCCAGGAGCCACGAGAGATGCTGGAGTCTAGAGTCTAGAGATCTCCTCGCCAAGGTAATCACCTGGAGACGGACAGAGAGAGTGCCCCATGTCGCTGAGCTGCCCTAAACTGAAAGCCCCCTCACCTATTGTCGTCTTGTCCAGGCCGATCTCCGTGTTCCGGAACAGCTTGGCCAGCGAGCCTCTGCCAAAAAACGCCCCCGGCCCGCGCAGAACGCCCCCGACGAGAGCAGCTCCTGGGTCTTCGTTCTCGACGAGCCCGGCTCTCTTCAGGTGCTCCAGGCCGCGCCTTGCGAAGACGCAGGAGACCACGAGTCCAGGAGAAGAGAGGTGAGAGGTGAGAGGTGAAGGAAGGCCAGGGCAGGGAAAGGAGAGGGTTGAAAGCTTCTGAGCCGAGCTGCTTTGGCTTCAAGTTGAACTTGCTCACGCCTTCCTGCATCCCATTTCACAAGGATGAGTGTGGAGGGATGAAGGGAGGTCGTGTTCACGTTTTTGTCCTGCAGCTCCCGTTTCAGCCGCTTCTGATCCAGGGCCGCGGTGGCACCTCGCAAAGGAGAAAGCTCCGGAGCCGAGAGTGCTGTGGTGCCTCCGCCGAGACTCTGGGCCCCAGGCTTCTGCTCGTGCCGGGGAGTTCCTCGTTCTCCGGCTCCTCATCCTCCTCAGACCGTGTCTGACAGCCGGAACTGGGCTTCGGGAGTTGAGCTACAGCGACCATTCTCACCAAGTCCAAAAGAAGGGCAGAGTCTGGCAAGCACGCCCGGTGTCGTGGGTCGTGTGTCTTGTTCTTGAAAGCTTGCGGGGCCAACATCTAGAAAATGCAACACCCAGGATGTGCAAGGCGGGTCCTCCAAGGCGGGCTCCTTGCATGCAGATGAGCACGCACACACACACACACACAAACCCACGCACGCACACACACCCACGCACGCACACCCACGCACGCACGCACTCACGCACGTACCCACGCACGCACGCACGCACGCACGCACGCACGCACGCACGCACGCACGCACGCACGCACGCACGCACGCACGCACGCACACACACTTTGAAGAATGTTGTGCTTAGCCCACCTGCCACGAAGCTCCCAAAGCAGTTCCGGAGCTGCCTTTAAGCGGACAGCATTCAGGGATAGCAGCATCAACGGCTCAACTGCTCCACGCTACTCCCCTCCTCGCGGCGGAGTCATGTGTCCTGCAGGCAGGAGCTGAGGCAGGCTGAGGCGGCGAGCCCTTTCGCTGCCTTGCATCCCTTTGAGACTGCAAGGCCCGACCGCCTACCGCAACAAAGCTGCATCATGCATCGCTTCCTTGCGCTTTGACTTCCAGCGACTTCACCAGAGTCAAGAGTGCGCCAAGGGCCAAGATCCTCAAGCGATGTTCCTGGAAAGAGGACAACCCGCAAACGCTCCGCTACTTCGAGATCGCGCCTGCTCTGGTTGGATGACACTGGCATGCTCGCTGGAGGTGTACTTCCCCGTGGCTATCCTCAGCTCTCGCAGTCACGCGAAGGCCTCTCGATGCCTATCTCTTTGACCTCGACCTTGCATTAGCTGGCGCCTGGACAAGGACTCGATCATGCGCTCCAAAACGTTGCGCCTTCGAGTACAGGCAGCAAAGAAACCCGCGAACGAGATCCGAAGCTCTCACCGAGCTCAGCGCTTCTGCAAGTCGCAATCGAAAATGAGGAACACCGCGAGGACCGCCGAAGCGGCTTCCCCAAACAGGGTCTGCGAGACCTCGTGCACATTGCGCATCTTTTGCATGCTTCCGAATCACTACACAGGCGCATACAAGCATCCCTCTCTACGTATGCGGATGTGCATGTAAATGTGAACGAACGCATAGACGCATCATGCTCAGGCACACACACACACACACGCACACACGCACGCTGAGAATAGATGTGGGTTAACTTTTGTCGCGGCCATATCCTGCCGCACCCAAGGCACAGTGCCTACCCGACAGCGGGCATTTGACTTGTATCCTCGTGAGCAGCAAGGTCGCCAAAAAAATCAAAAAGTGTAGCGCTTTAAACCTGAATCCGCCTCCTAAACCCTACTTGGGCTATCCTGTTCCAACGCACCAGCACTGATCCATCCTTGTATGATCACGGCGGCTGCACCAAGAACATGTTCGATTGCTGAAGGGGTCCCTGGCTTAGCCCCAGCCATGAACTACAGGATGTTGCAAGCAAAATTTGCAGGTATACATGGGCGGCCAAGCACTGCATCCCCCATCATACCGTAGCTTCGTTGCGTCAGGTAGGTATGATGGGCTTAACTCTCGTGCTGAAATACAAATAACAAGCTAAAGAAATTGGGACTAGGGTTTTTGCACATACACACGCGCATGCGCGCACACACAGACACACAAACACACAGACAAGTTGCTTACACTTTAGTGAAGCTGCAAGCCCTTGCCAACGGCCCAGCACGCCTGGGGCAATCACTTTGGATCATGTCTGTGCGGATATCGGGCCCATCCTCTTGCTGAGTCTCGTCTGGGTGCAAGTAAAGTGAAAGCGGGATACTCCTCACACGGTTGCGGGCCTAAGCCCTGCACACAAATGCGCAGCCACGCTCTTTTCTGCTTGCAAGAGCCCAAACCCTTCGGTATCAGTGCAGGACGTGTTCTACATGCATTCAGCGCGAAACCTCACACAGCACTAGGTTCTCCTGGTATCGGCTGTTCTGACACGACCATAAAACCCCTGATGTTTTGCACTAAATGCTCATCCTCTTCGCCAGGCCCTGGGATTTCGTCCAGGAACCAAGGCAAACGATTCTGAGCGGCAAAGTCGCCCAGAGCACTCAGAAAGCATTCCACCCGTTCGGTGAGCTTCCTCTGAAGGGCCGCCTTGTGCAGCTTCTTGCCGGCGGTGAAAGACTCGTCGTGGACGATACTCCACCGCTGCCGGTTCACAAAGAAGTTCAACAAGTCATTCTTGGCTCCACCCTTGGTCCAGCCATCAGCCAGCATAGCCAGTCCATTCACCCACCGAAGGTGAGTGCCTAGTTGAAGTGCCTGCTGGACAGCGATGGTCAGCTCGTAGCCCGCTCTCGAGGAACGAAGCCCGGAGAGGCTCCTGGTCATGGCATCGTAGACTCCTCTTGAGTCCATCATCAGGCCTCCAGTCGTGGAGGCTGCAAGATCTTTCTCCAAACGGCCTCGGACAACCTCTCTCCCGTGGATCTCGTACCAGAGGGCTCTCAAAAGGAACACCGTGTCCTCTCCGACCGTGATGGCCTGGACTCCTGGACCTCTGAGCCGTTGCTCCCGAGACTTTCCCGGGGCGCCTTGGTAGACCTCCAAGACACCAGCGCCACACTTTCTTCTTCACCGTCCAGGATAGACCGCGGTGCATACCCGGCAACGTACCCAATGGTGCTTGACTTCTTGGGCCTGAGGCGTCTGCCCAAACAACCGTCGCGATGTCCTTCCAGTCCTTGTTCCACTGAGGAAACCACAAGTGTTGGGAGGCCTCCTTCTTGATCTCCCTCACCAACTTGCTGATGGAGGTCAAAGTAGCCACGGTTGCTTCCGGAACGGCCGACAGCAAAAGCGAAACTTCTGCTTGGTGGTGCGGCCCGGTCTGGGAAGCCTTCCACGATAGCGTTCCCAACACGGCCCTCAACTGTGACACCTCTCTGGCCCTGGCTGTCAAGGAGCTTTTGCTCTGCTTCTCGCGGTCACGCGTCAAGGGGACTTCCTCCAGCCACTTGTTCACGTACTCCTCCTGATCCACATAGATCCCGTCGGAGCTCTGCCGGAGGTGGCAGCCCGCGAAGTCAGTCAAATTCGCTTTCGCGCTACTTGCCAAACTTAAACTGAGATTGCAGAGCTGCCTTGGCGGCGAGGTACTTCGGGTGGTCCGGCTTGCCGCAGATGAGGAAATCATCCACATGCATCCCAGCCAACGCGATCAGCTCCCTGGTCGTACCAGGCCTCCAAGAAGCAAAGCCTCCACCACCGCCTCGTGCCATTTGCGAGACGCGTGCACCAAGCCGTAAAACGCCTTGGTGAGCTTCAGGATGACCTCCTCGCCGCCCTCTGCCCCGAATAGCCCAGACAGTTCCGAAGGCGCCCACACGTAGAGCTCCTTTTCCAGGCGTCCCATGGTCTGAGGAAGGCGGAGGTCACTCCCCGCTCTCCAACTTGAAGCCCATGTTGGACGCTGCCGCCAGCAGCAAGGCGTACCGACCTGTGATCGGCACAGCGTGGGGGCTGCCGTCTGCACTGTGGACAGGTTGTACTGCTGCAAACCAAGGACCACCAGTCGAGCCTTGGCTGTGCCCGAGCTCTTCCTCGTGAACACCTCATGTTCATCACCCTCGCTGGGTCGATGCCCTGCAGTTCGGTCTGCGTCAGCGCTCGGACCGCCGCTGAGGTGAGTGGGCCTCATCAAACTCCAGCTTCTCTTCGTAAGAAAGCTGCAGGCCCCGTTCGGCTTGGCCTCCTCCTTGAAGTCGTCCTCGATCACCTGCTGCCTTGTCGAGCCCGGACTCTCAACAAAGGTCCGGCGCTTGCCGGTGAAGGACTGGTCCGGAACGGGGCACTCCTGAACCTTGTCGGGTGTAAACAACGTGAGGCGTGGAGTGCCATGAAGAACAAGAGTTGCTCATCGAATCTCCCATGTGTCGCGGGCCGTCTGCCTTCTGGCTGCGTCCGGCTCCACTCTCACCTCCGTCGGTGCCAAGTCGTCTGCCAGATGCTGGCTCGGAGTCTCCTGGGTCGCATCCAGGAAGTGTCGCCCGGAATAACCTCTGGATGGTCGAACCTTCTTGAAGGAGAACTCGGAGGGGCCCGGCCCAGCCACCTTTTCCTTGCCGCATCCGTTGCCGCCAAAGCATCACGAGCGAACCGGCCTCGTACTTCTCGGCCTTTCGGGTCACCGCATTGTTGAAGCGAGAGAGAGCTTCTCTGCCGCCTCGGCCTTGACAAACGCCGCCTTGGCCTTCTCTCTCAAAGCCAATGTTCTCGAGAAGGCTCTCTTCGGGTTGATCCCGTCGGGCAGCTCCTCAACTTCATCGCGTTGCCATCCTCGGGTCCATTGAAAAGGATCGAGAGAACCCACTCGAGTTGATCGCCGAGTTCGCCCCATGGGCCGCTAAAGAGAAGATCTCCTCGATGCTGAGGTCCAGGGACTCCTTCTCGATTCGGGAGCCGTCCGCTTCAAGGTCTGGATCCGCCGCTCCTCGTGGCCCATGATCCAGTGGCCTTCCCCGGCGCCAGCAGAAGCCGCCCGGATGTCACTGGAGGTCGGTTCCCAGCTCTCCTCGGCACCAAAGGTTCGAAGGTGCCGGACCATGCATAGTCGGCTGGCTCGGTCTTGCATAAGAAGAAACTTGCCCTTCTTGCGTGAACCAGCCTCGGCAAACTCATGCTCAAAGACGTCCATGCCAAGAACCTCCCACAGCGCAGGGGGATCCTCCGTTGATGCCGGCGGCGCCGGCGATATGCGGCGACTCTCTTCACGATCAGCGCACCGAAGCTCCCTGGCCAGCTCAAAGCCCACCCTGCTGCTTTCCGCTTTTCAAGCAAGCGTGCCAGAGACTCAAAAAGTAGTGTGCCCGAGCGCTATTCACTTCCTCCAGCTTCCGCCCAATAGGTCGCTCAGGTGGCAGGGTCATGCGCTGAACCGGGTAAAGGTCGCCCAAGTTCTGGCCCGCTGTGGTGTCGTAGTTCTGGTCCGCTGTGGTGTCGTAGTTCTGGTTCGCTGTGGCGTCGTAGTTCTGGTTCGCTGTGGCGTCGTAGTTCTGGTTCGCTGTAACGTCGCCACCGTCTCCTGCAAGGAAGGCCTCCACGTCATCCTGTAGAGACCCATAGCGCATCTGCAGCTCCCACCGCGTGGCCTCCGTGATGTCCTTGATCATGCCGGGGGAAGCTCCAGCGCCTTCAGCTCCCAGTCGCCATGCTTTCAGCATCGCCGTCCCATCTTGTAGTAGAGCTGCTTCGCGTTCGTGAGAATCTTCCATCGGTTGGGTGACGTGAGGCTGCCCCTCTCGTAGCAGCACTGGTCGGCTTCTTTGATCTTCTCGATCGCTCGGCCTCGCCAGCCCCATTGGGCCTCAGCACGCCACATCCGGGCAAAGTGGCGTCCATCGATCACGCAGCCACTCGGCCACAGAACACGCCACCATCTCGGCCGAGTGAAGGTCACGTCGCCGAGCTTTCTCGTAGTTCCGCTGCTGTCCGGGGGAACCGGGCCAGCTCAAAGTCCTCGGGCTCCTCCGGGGCGTCCTTCTCCCTCGTCAAGACCTTCCTTGGCACGGAAGGAGGGGATCACGGATGTCGGCTTCGAAAGTTCCCTGGATCTCTTCAAAGATTGCTGGAGCTCCGCAAAGTTCTCTTCCTCCCGCACCAGGAACTCCGGGATGGACTCCCGGTCTCTTCTTCGAAGGTTGCTCCACTTCTCCAGCTTCTGGAAGCTGTCCGGTATCGGCAGCGTCTGGAGAGGCGATCGCCGCAGCTTCTGCAGGAGCATCTCCAAGCCCTTGCTGTTGTGGAAGAGCTCGGGGTCGAGGTGCTTCACTACCGGATGCGGGCCGCAGCGGCCCGGCTTCTCGGAGTCCTTCAGGGTCAGGACATACCAGCGGCATGCGGTCCCGAAGCTCGCGAAGGTAGAGGGGTCGCCATCCCACGCTGGTGTGTCCTGGCCTCGCTCTCCTGGGTTCGAAGGGGAAGACATCGGAGCTCAAAGCAAAGCCAGCGGCTCCGCTGCCATGAAAGCGGGATACTCCTCGACACACGGTTGTGGGCCTAAGCCCTGCACACAAATGCGCAGCCACGCTCTCTTCTGCTTGCAAGAGCCCAAACCCTTCGGCATCAGTGCAGGACGTGTTCTACATGCATTCAGCGCGAAACCTCACACAGCACTAGGTTCTCCTGGTATCGGCTGTTCTGACAGAATTCACAGGCGTTAGCTTGGGCTTTCAGCGGTTCGCTCGGACAGCCCAATCTTTTTTGCGTTGTGGCGACAGTCCCTGTTCGCCCGGTGACTAACTTTAGCCTTCGGTCGGATAGATTTTTCAGACCCATGGCAACGGATAGCAAGTTCCTCAAGCCATGGGCTGCCTAACGCTTGATGCCCGGATATCTGCGTTCAGCGGAAACACCTTCGATATGTTCCTAGCTAAACGCACCTTCGATGATTTTTTAGCCTAAACACCTTCGATGTATCTCACCTGAGCGCGAGCATACACGGTCGCACCCCGTCCTGCGGCACGTACCTAGCACATCCCACCCAACACCTCCCAGCTACAGCACGGCAAACGACGCACAGACTTTAGCTTGTGCTTTCAGCAGTTGCCTCCCCCGCAGCATCCCAACAGCCCCCCGCGGTTGCTGGCACCAGACTTGCCCTGAATTCATACTCGAAAGGGTTTGAAGTTCAACTCACTTCAATTACAAGACATGGATGCCCCGTACTGTTATTTCTTGTCACTGCTGTCTTCCTTAGATGCGGTAGCCGTTTCTCAGGCGCCCTCTCCGGAATCAAACCCTAATTCTCCGTTATCTGCCATGGCCACGGTAAGCCCATGCCCTACCGTTGGAAGCTGATACGTCAGAAACTTGTCGACGAAGCCACAAGACTCATCGAGTTATCATGAATCACCACAACCAGGCGAAGCCTGCGCTGATTGTGTATCCCATAACAACAACCCCTCTGCGAAGTTGGGTTTTGGTGCATGGATAGGCTCTACCACAGATATCCATGTAGCAATGACAATAAAAAATTATATGTATATATATATATATATATATATATATATGCATGCTTGAACCAGCCATTGGCAGCTTCGCCACGTAAGAGCTTCTATGACTACTGGCAGGTAGTCAGGATCAACCAGGTTGCATCTCCCAACGCCTACACCCCTAATCCCCCAAATCCCTAAACCCCGTTCAGACCCTGCATTATGCCACGCGACACTCGTCGCTGATGATGTTCCAGGCTAAGTTTCTAGTGTTATTTACCGTGGTTTCGTTGTTCATGAAGTCCAGCAAGCAGTCATTTCCGAGGTTTTGATTTGGATCAAAACGCGGACCAAGTTGCGACCCTCTCGCGCGAGACGCTTTTCGGTATGTGGTGTGACATGGCTTGGGGTTTCGTTCTTAAGAAAATGAAGGTCGAGGGAGTAAAAAAATAAGGGTCGAGGGCGCAGGGATGACTAGGACGTGCGGCAACATGAGGCAGAACAGCAGTGTCATCGTCCGAGTCATCATCATCCTCATCATTCTGTGCATGAACAGCAAAGCATGAACGTTATCATCCTGCGGGCATGGCTGCTGCGACATTGGATGTGCTGGTAACATGGACGTTATCATCCTGCAGGCATGGATGCTGCGACATTGGATGTGCTGGTAGCATGGACGTTGTCATCCTGCGGGCATGGATGCTGCGACACTGGATGTGCTGGTAACATGGACGTTATCATCCTGCAGGCATGGATGCTGCGACATTGGATGTGCTGGTAGCATGGACGTTGTCATCCTGCGCGCATGGATGCTGCGACACTGGATGTGCTGGTAACATGGACGTTATCATCCTGCAGGCATGGATGCTGCGACATTGGATGTGCTGGTAACATGGACGCTGTCATCCTGCGGGCATGGATGCTGCGACACTGGATGTGCTGGTAACATGGACGTTATCATCCTGCAGGCATGGATGCTGCGACACTGCATGTGCTGGTAACATGGACATTATCATCCTGCACATGGAAGGTGCGACGCTGGATGTGCTGGAGTGGGCGTTATCATCATGCCGGCATGGATGCTGCGACACTGGATGTGCTGGTAGCAGGGACGTTATCATCCTGCAGGCATGGATGCTGCGACACTGCATGTGCTGGTAACATGGACGTTATCATCCTGCGCGCATGGATGCTGCGACACTGGACGTGCTGGTAGCACGGACGCTATCATCCTGCGGGCATGGATGCTGCGACACTGGATGTGCTGGTAGCATGGACGTTATCATCCTGCAGGCATGGATGCTGCGACACTGCATGTGCTGGAACCATGGGTGTTATCATCCTGCAGGCATGGATGCTGCGACACTGCATGTGCTGGAACCATGGACGTTATCATCCTGCGGGCATGGATGCTGCGACGCTGCATGTGCTGGTAACATGGACATTATCATCCTGCGCGCATGGAAGGTGCGACGTTGGATGTGCTGGAGTGGGCGTTATCATCCTGCGGGCATGGATGCTGCGACACTGGATGTGCTGGTAGCATGGACGTTATCATCCTGCGGGCACGGATGCTACGACGCAGGACGTGCTGGTAGCATGGACGTTATCATCCTGCGGGCACGGATGCTGCGACGCAGGATGTGCGTGCTTGTAGCATGTGCGACCGAAGTGCGAGGAGCGCAAGCGAGGCATGGCGAAACACTACATTACGGAAGGGCGAAAAAGGCCTGGAGACCACAATACCGGAAGCCCCATCGATTTCGTGCCCCTGCAAGGGCAAAACCTCCAAAAACACGAAGTGCGCTCAGGACGCTGGGTCTGAGGCTAAACCCCAGAACGCAAACTCTGCTAAACCCCAAACCCTGAACCCCAAAATCTCTACGACACAAGGATACAAAAGTTTCAGGGTGCACGTTGGCGTTACAAACTTAGATAGTGCCCTTGAGGTATACGCAGTCTACAACACCAAGATACATAAATCTGAGGGTGGACATTGACGTTAGAAAGAAACAAATATGCCAAGGTGAACGATTGCGTCACAAACATACAAGGTGAGTGTCCGCAAAGCATACACAGTTTACAACACCCAACACCAAAGCACAGAAATATCAGGGTGGAAGTTGGCGTTACAAACTTATAGTGTCATTGTGTGTCCTTAACATTCACGAAATTTACAATACGAAGACACGATTTTGTAATAGTGGACGTTGGCACTACAAACTTACAGTTTCCTGAATTTTACGACTTGAAATGGACGTTGGCATTACACCCCTGCCTTGAAGTATAAAAAGTCTACAATGCAAAGACACAAAAGAAGAAGGAAGGGTCGACCTTGGGATTCCAAGTCTACAAAGGAACAGAATTTCAGGGTGGCCGGGTTACAAACTTATACCGTCCTTAGCGAAAACACAGAGAATGGTGCAGGTGTTACACACTTATAGTGTCCTTAATGTTTACAAGGTCTACAATACAGGAAAAAAGCACAAAGTCTGATCTACAAAAAGACGACATGTAAGCGCGGAAACTGGCGCTACAAACTTTTAGTGTCCCCAAAGTTTAGGACACAAAGATGTAACCAAATATGGGTGGACGTTGGCGATACAAACTTGTCGTGTCTGGAAAGTTCACAAAGTCACAAAAACAAAATCAAGGGTGGACGTCCCCAGACCCTACGCCCAATCCCGCTACAGTGTCTTTGAACTTACCAACTCTACAAAACAAAGATACAATTCTGTAAGGGTGTACGTTGGCGCTACAAACCTAAAGTGTCCTTAAATGTCTGGAAAGGGAAGGTGGACGTTGGCGTTTACACTGCTGACGTCCTTACAGAATTTAAACAAAAAAAGCTTACAATACAAACATACAAAGACGGATGGGTTGACCTTGGCGTTACAAACTTAAGGTGTCCAATGTTGGCGAAACCAACATGTTCAACCATTCCCATGGATCTGGAGAAACTTTGGGAGCAGGAGCCATCGTTTCGGGAATAATGCAAGTTGGTGGACATGTTGGAAAAACCAACAATTTCCATGATTCCCCACAGACAAATCATGGAAATTGTTGGTTTTACCAACATTTCCAACAGTTTTCCATGAATTTGGAAAAACATGGGGAGCCCGAGCCATAGTTTCGGGAATCATGGAAATTGTTGGAAATGTTGGTAAAAACCAACAATTTCCATGATTTGTCTGTGGGGAATCATGGAAATTGTTGGTTCTTCCAACATTGCCAGCACGTTCCATGAATTTGGAGAAAGCTCGGGAGCAAAAATACAGTAGATGCTACACTTAGAAGCCCAGGGAGCCACAGTAAACGAAAACGTGCTTTCCCAGAGACGCAACGACCAAGGAACACAAACAAATATTAGGGACAAGGCGTCTGATTTGAACAGGACACGACCTGGGTACCGGGGGGGTACCATATATATATATATATATATATATATATATATTTATTTATTTATATATTTATACATTATATATATATATATATATATACATTATTGGACAAATGGACAGAGAGGTGGTTGCGTGGCTACGGTTGATTTGACAAGATGCACAGCTGAGACAGGTAGGCGGGAGGCGGATGGATTCAGAACCAAACGGTGTCGGAGACATATGTTGGACAAAGGACAGGTTTGACACAACAGCGTGGCCTGCAGCATCCAGTGCTTCTGTGCGTAGCTGGAGTTTCCACTCACAAGGACTGGCAGGACGATTTGATCCAGGAAGACGCCAAGCTCGTAGCCTGCAGCTGCAAGTGCGCTGAGCGATTTTTCTCTTGATCTTGCAAAGGACTTCTCCACCAAGAGTCTTAGAGACTCCCCGAAGAGCTTGGAAACCAGGACCTGATCAGCCGTTCTCTCCTCTTGCGAGGCCCAAGACGGCGATGCGACAGAGTGCGCCACGACCAGTCTCAGTGCCAACTTCGTCATCTTCAGTCCCGAAGACCTAAGCCCTACCGGGCAGCACAGCTTGTCGCAGTTCCTCAGACTTGGGCCGAGGCAGGCTGTTTCGAGTCCTGAGTTGACGGCATCCCCACGTCAGCCCGCTCAGTTCCGCAAAGTCGAGGCGCAAAGAGACGGAGAAGAATCTGCGAACGGCCGCGATGAAGGGCTTGCCTTCACGGCACGGGGATCACAGGAGCGGAGTCAGCTGAGGCTGAGGGCTGAGGGCTGAGGGAAAGGCTCGACAACTCCGTTGACTCGCAGGACCTCGAATCGACTGCAGAGGGCTCTCCGCTAGCAGCCGCAAGCAGCCGCTAGCTGCATTGAGGGCGGCGGCTCCAGGAGTTTGGCCGTCAGGAGCAGAGCTAAGTGCCGCTGCTTCTCCACCTTCAAAGAGCTTTTGAGTTTTTGGGTGTGGCGTGGCTAGCGGCTGTTCAGCCTGGTTGGGCTCTTCCACGCTCTGTTCGCACAAGTTCGAGAGCAGGAGCAAAGCCTCACGGCACCTGCGAGACTTTTCCCTCAGCTCTCGCATCAACATGGGAAGTGGGGTTGTGGGGGCAAAAGCAGTGGCCTGGCGGCCGCATCCTGACGAAGAGGGCAGAGCGCTGGCCCCGGCTCACGGTCCCACACTCGGTCGGGTCCTCCTCGCCGTCTTCCACGCGGGGCGGCAGCTGCAAGCCCCCCTCCAAGGCCTCGGCGCGAACCTGACAGGAGGAAAAAACCCGCCGCGCCGCACACTTTGCCGTTTTGCCGTGCTTGTTCTTGTTTTTGCACCTGATCCAAGACATCCCGGAGGGGCGGCGCCTCGCGCTTGGCATGGGCAGTATAGACAAGTCTCCAAAACGATCTGTCTTCAAGAGGTGACGTCTCAAACGGAGAACAGCGGAACAGCGCCTCGCTTGGCGACTTCGACATCGGGATTCGTCAATACATGGCAAGGTCCCTCTCTTGTCTTTCTTGCTCTTCCATCTCTTGCTCTATCTGTCCCTCTCTGTCTCTAGCTCTGTTTGCAGGGACGTGAGAATTGCTGCAGGTTGTTCTGGTGGAAAGCTCTGACTGCTCGGCCTTCCGTGGAGAAAAGCTCTGGAGGCTGAGAACCAGACAAGCAATGCTCGTGCTGCTCGTGTCACGGACTTGAGAACTGGTGGACTTCCACTCGGACGCGGACCTCTTCGCATCTGACGTGACCGTCACCTTTGACAAAGCGGAGCGGAAGGAGACGCACTTTGCAGAGCAGAGCCTGGCGCAGCCCGCCGGGCCTCGCCAAGGAGCCAGAGGCCGCAGGTCGGGGAGAAGTATTCCACGCGGTCTCCGTCGGCGTAGGCCGGCAGGGCCCGAGGAGGCAGAGCGTCCGTCCCTTGAAAACCCAGGAAGCCGACCTCCGCGCGGAGGTCCAGCGGAGAGCGGAGAAGAGCGGAGCCCCCCCCCACGGCTCAGCCCCCAACAGCTGCGGAGGCTCTGGGTGGCATGGGATCCTCCAGCGGCGACCCTCGCTCTTGCGGAACCTGTCAGCGTAGAGACCGATATCGGCACATGTCGGCACTTCGGGCGGCTGGTGGGGCGGCATCGGACCTGTGCTCCATTGTCTCCGCCTTCCATGTCCTGACTGGGCTGGTGACAAACGCATCCGGCTGCATCCGTGCACAGGCATGCAGCGGGTTAGCGAGCAGGCGCTTTGCCGCGCTTCTGAGCCATCCGAAACCTTCCCTTCCGACCCTGTGTAGCAGCATCCCATCACCTTTATAACCTCGAAGACCGGAATCGCGGTCAATCCTGCTCTCCGTCATCTCCGGCTTCTAAGTCCTCTTCAGAATCAAAGGAGCGGATTGGAAGCAGGCAGCCGCCAACTTGCCGCTTAGGCGCAGCTGGGAGGACTTGGAGCTTTTGGTCAGGTTGCCTCAGGCCGCAGCCGTCAAAGCATGCCATTGGCTCTTTGCTACTCTCTCAGCATCTTGCGGAGCTTCACCTCTGCCGTTGAGCCAATTCTGAACTTGCTGCAGGTTCAGCTTCCAGACCTGATCTGAAGCCCGAGCGGCAAGGCGAGGCACTCACCTTCCGCTGAAAGCCTGGGCGCAGCGGCCACGCGCACCTTGGCCTTTGCCCGCGTCCAGCGGGAGAACGCAGATTTGATGGAGTAGCGGCTCGCCATTTTCGGCAGCTCGGACGCGGAGGCCGGTGCAGCCTCTCCCTCCGGTCCTGAGCGGAAAGCTCTGCCCTGCTCCCCCAATCGCTCTCTCTCTCGAGGCTGCGGCCCGCCATCGACGCCTCTCAGAGAGCACAGCAGAGCACACCAGAGCACACGAGAGCACTGCATCATGGACCGCGCCAGAGCACCGAGAGACCCGCCGCGCCTCGGACTTGCCGGAGAGCCCGGAAGGCACCGCATCGAACCTGAGATAAGAGTGAAGAGGTAAGAGAGAGGAGAGAGGAGATGCGGAGGGAAGACGGAGGAGAATTTCGGGAAAGGTTGCCATTGCTTGAGCTTTCGGCTCAAGCGGCTCAGAAGCGGTGCTCCCGCCGCCCAAGCGGCTCTCCGCCCGCGCCCGCGGCGGAGGCGCAGCGCTTGCAGCGCCGGCCCGGGCCTGGGCCTCGAAGCAAAGAACTTGGGGGGGGGAAACTTCCCGTGCCAGCGCGGGCGAGCGCGGGAGCCTCTGCTCCGAGCTCTCTGCTGCTCTCTGCTAAAACCACACCGTTTCAGCCCCATTTCTCTCTGCTCTCTCGCTCTCGCTCTCAGGGCAGCTTGACCCACCACCCAGACCCACCGGGCCTTTTGACAAGTCTGGGAAGTTTGCCGCCAGAGGCAGGAGCAGAGAAGGCCCAGAATCAAGAGGAGCAGAACCACGCAGACCGCCTCAGGCAGGCAAAAAGACGCGCCTTGAGGCCTCAGAAGCCTTGCCAGAGGGACCAGCCTGGACGCGGCCTCAGAAGAGATAAACAGATAAACAGTGCAGTAGTACAGCCCGTAAAGGAGCCCAAGAAAAGATTGCGTGCTGAGTCAAGAACAGCTCAGGGCCACATCTAGCACTTTGCCAGCTTCCCCAAGCGGACAAATCACGCTCCGATGCTCGCTCTCCATGGCGCTAAGCAACCATCTTGACCGAGTCCATTCTGGTACGTCACGTCTTGCGATCTCCTGTGTCGCTCGTGTCCAACGGCCTACGACACAGGGAGTAAAAAAGTTGCAAACGTTGCTGAAATCAAAGAAATCCGGCTTGCACCTTTCACGCATGGGGCGAGCATCTTGCATATAGCATACATTCAATCTGGGTGAATCGAGGGTTGTGCCTTCACAGGCATCCACAAGTGGAGCCTGAAAGTGGAATCCAATCAGGAAGCTGCCGTTGGCACAACACATGCCCTTCCAGCGCACCTCATTTCTTTGCAAAGGTCGGGGCTTATCTAGTCATGCATGTGCACCCGCTACTCTTTGGTAGCTCCTGCACGCTTGCACACCAGCGGAGAGCGTAAAAGCACAACAAGGATCCAGAGTGCTTAATGCATCACCTGGACAAGCAGGCTCCACCTAGAACATGCCTGCGGACGCTGAGACACTGATCAGCGCTAAGGGCCAAATCTTGTCGATGGCATCAATTGGGCCCTTGATCGCTGACGCTGCACCCGCTACTCCGCTACTCTTTCAGTAGCGACTTCTGTACCGTCCGCTGTGGTGCACAGTGAGACACTGATCAGCGAGCGCCAAGGGCCACTATGTGGCGCAAGCACCTCCGTCATCGCTGACACTGCACATGCTGCCGTTTGGGTAGCAGATGGTAGCAGGCTTGATCCAAACGTGGAGTGGCCTGGAAGCGGCGACCTTTTTAGTGGAGTCAACATGTGAAACTGAGAGACCGTGCAAAAGGATGGGCAGAGCTGGACGGCGCCTGCGCAGCACTGACTCTCCGATTTCCTTCACAAGTCACATCGCCCGGCCTTTCAAGTTGCCTTTCGCGGCAAAACTGTAGCAATCTTGCCTGGCAGTGATGCCGTCACGTGGAAGTCAAAAGGCCGATCACGAAGCCGAGGGTTGGGCTCGCTGGTGTCCTGACGTAAGACTTCCGATGTGCGTCCGACACGTTGCCACGCTCCAGCCTGCCAAAATCGGAAGCTACTGAAGCATCGAACAAAACAGCAGTCTGGGGCTCCGCGCTTCTTGTGGGTAGATGTCAATCTGATCAGCCTTGAGCGTGATTGGCTTCCTCTGCTTGATGGCCTCGTGTCTTGGGCAGATGTCGAGACAGGCAACAAAAGGAAACATGCCGAGGCCGGGGCCTTCTTCAAGTGGTCCACATTACTGAGCGTCCGATGGGAAGCGCTGCTCCCAAAACGACTGGCAATCGGAATCCGCCCTTGCGTCTCAGCTTGGCGGTGACCGTCCAATCCTGCGCGGCGAGTGGTGCTGAAACTCCCAGCCCCCAACCGCCTCCCAAAGCCCTCCCCTGCCCGTGTCATGCTCCGCCCCTGCGGACGCTCAGAAACACTCCAGCAATCCGGAGCCCAGCCCCTCCCGCCCACACCAAGCCCTGCCAAGAGCTCCACGACAGGGCTAACACTGCGTGCGCACACAACCCTGTCCTTCCGGGTCAGCTCCCGCACCCAGACGACGGACGTTGAGGTCGTGCCTCACAGAACGCCAAAGGCTGCTATCTTCAATCCTCCAGCCTGCATGGTGACATGTCTTAGTACCTGCAGCAACGGTCTCAAACCTTGCAACTCATGTGCCCGCGGATCAGTGGGGCTCACAGGGTGCAAAAAAGGCGCAACGCAGCTGAGAATTGCAGATCAAACAAGAGAAAAGGAGTTCGAAGAAGCACACATCATGACATGTGCACGAAGGACATGTGAATGTGCATCGCATCAAGAAGCGGACTTTGCCACTATCATGTATGATATGTGGGTCAGGACAATGAGGCATCCATACACAAACCAGTACATGGACAGGTCCGTCCTGCTCTCCAGCTCATTTCACCACCATGACATCTTCAAGAACAAAAATCAACTCGTCGAGTTCGCGTTAAAAGCAGCCGTTGCACTTGCGGTGAGTGCCACAGCTATCTTGGTGTGCCCTGCCTGGAGTAGGGCGGGGTGCCTCTGCTTTTGTCCAGTCTTGATATATGTTTTGATCAACATGTTGATTGTCTAAACAAGCTTAGTTGACCCACAACCGCCTCCTCCCTTGGAACAGTGTAAGCATAACAGAACGAAGCACGCAAGAGAACCTGTTTCTGAAACACCGTCCTGATGTTGGCGAAGGAATTTGTTGGAGCTCGCGGGCAATAAGCAGCTTCATATGGTACGACGATGGAATGACAGCCCATGTCCTGTTCGTGCCATTGAAGATGTTGGGCAACCCGCGATGTATCGACCCGGATCCGATACGGCGTGTGAATGAGTGTGTACTGCTACTGCTGCTAATAATACTACTAACTACTACTACTACTACTACTACTACTACTACTACTACTACTACTACTACTACTACTACTACTGCTACTACTACTACTACTGCTACTACTGCTACTACTGCTACCTGCTACTACTGCTACTACTGCTACTACTGCTACTACTGCTACTACTGCTACTGCTACTACTATTACTACTACTACCACTACTACTACTACTACTACTACTACTACTACTACTACTACTACTCCTACTACTACTACAAGTACTACTGCTTCGGACCCTATGTTGGCGAAGTCGGTCACCTCGGCACTGTGTGCAATCCAGCCCGCGTGGATTCCTCTACTGGCAGAATTACGGCCGTGGAATCCCGATTCTTGTTTTTCGCATGTACCCTGCTGGGCCCCGCCCTGCGCTGCCCTGTCCCGCTCCAATGCGCCCTGCCCTGCCCCGCCCCCCACTGAGTCATTATTGAATCATTGAGTCATTATTGAATCATTGACGGCATTGCAACCGTCCAAGCCGTTTTGGAGCATTTTTCAGCGTTTTTTCACGAAATCAGTCCCCATTTTTTCGCCTCGAAACAAGTCCCGTCAGCAAGAACGCTTCAAGTTTGCCTGACATGCTTGCTTTCAACGGTCGCCACAAGGTCGCCACACGGTCGCTGACAGTTTTTTCGTTTTATGTTCAAACTGCAAAATATTGACAGTTACGGAATTCAGCGATGTGAGATTCAGCATGTATGTGTGCTTGAGGAGTGTACGTTGCAAGAGCCCACATGTTTGCGCGATGGTTCGTGATGTTTCTCAATAACGAAGTAATAATACCGCAACAATGTTGCAATGATGGTTAAAGGTCACTACACGGTCACGACGCGGTCACTACGTGATACTACAGAACTGTTCGATTTCGACAGTCATTGTTCTCAGCAAGAGCACTGTGAGTTGCAAAGAAGCTGAGAAAAACGAGGCGCTCTCACTCTTTGTTCTTGCGAAGGATGCTTGAAGCCGATGCGAGGCAATGCGGTGCTCGAAGCTTCAGCTAGCAATGTAGCGCGGGGCGAAGCAGTGCAAGCTCAAGTGCTTACCGAAAAACTGTCGACCAAAAATGAGGATGGGCCCCACCCCCTTTGACAAAGGAGGGTTTAAGCCCCCCTTTAAGCCCCCCTCTAAGCCCCCTTAAAGCCCCCTTTAAAGAGGTCTCCCCTAAGGGGTGAGCCGATACACCCCTTTAGGATTACTCCTGTGGGAATGTATTGACCAGTTAAGTGCCGTGGGATCTAAGGCAACGCCCAGCACACGGACAGCAAGTGTTTTGTTCTGCTACGCAGAGAGAGCTTGTGTCAAGTCGGTAAAACCACTTGAGCCAATGAGCAACAGACATATATACACGTGAGCATACAGCCATGCCATTGCTGAAAGTACCTACCCCTTTGGGAGTTTAGGCAAACAAACAGACACTAATTTTCTTTTTCTGTAAGCATGGCCGCGTGTCCACATGTATACATTTTCTTATAGCAAAGTTAAAAGTCAGCAGTATATTTCTCTCTTTCGAATATAGTCGCGAATCAAATATATTTGCCCATTCCATATATAGGAAATTGCAAAAGCAAACGAAGGATCGGTCACTTCTTTTTATCAGCGCGAGCTGAAGCACGGGAGGTAAAAGTAAGTGGCACGAGCAACCACGAGTGTGAACCGACTCAGAGTCGGAACATCGGAGCACAACGACTGAGAGTCGTAGATGCTTACCTCCCCCCCGGAACAATGAAAGTCACAGGGTATGGGAGGGTGGGCAAACATTTTCCTTTCGGCTCTCTGAGAGCCGCGATGCTGCACATATTTCAAACGATGTGAGTCATGCAGGAAAAATTTCCAATGGTTGAAAAGTAGAAACTTGCTCGCTGCAACAACATGTAAACATTTGTGCGAAACTGCTGACTTAGCAAAAACATAGAGTTTTCGCAAATTAACTTCAGCTATAAAGCTTTGTCGTACAAGTACGAAAGCTTGCTTATAGCAAAGTTAAAAGTCAGCAGTATATTTCTCTCTTTCTACGAACTTTTCCACTATCCTCGAGCAACAAAAGCCTTCAGGTATATCGGAATCACCATGTGCACAACTAAAGGAGCGAAAGTAAAATGCATGATAAAAACAAGTGTAAAACCATGCTCACGAATACAGGAAAATCGTTCGTACCCCGCCTCAGGCTGTTCCATTGGCGAATGGGCAGACCGTCCATGAACGATTCCGCAAAGTACGAAACAACAGTTTGTACGATGTTTAAACACGCTCCAGTGCACATGTTTTCATGACTTCGTCAATCAAGATTACGTGTTGGGCTCGGTTTAGCCGGCTCAAGGCTTTGCTCGAAAGTTTGTACACCTATGATCTGTACAATCACAACTCTACGCATGCTTGTATCACAAGGCGTGGGCCGCCGAGGACACAAGTTGCTTGACTGGCGCAAGCGACAATGGTGCATCGTCCTCCTTCTCCGTGGGCAACCGCCCGGACGGGAGAGGTGACTTTCGGTGCTTGGGATGGCCACACAGCGATTTCAACTTTTCCTAGTGTTTTGGGCTCACCTCAATCAGCAACTCTGTGCTCGACAAAAGATAATGCCGCTTCTTAAGAAAATGAACCTCCTGGCCTGGCACCGAAATCAAATTCACGGTCACTTTGTAATCCCTTTCAAGATGATCGGTCATGCACTTGATCACACTTGCAGGGCCTGTGCCGAGCAAATCATCGACGTGCACAAGTCCCCCGCCTCCGCCGTCCTCAGGCTGGAACCGGAACAGCGATGGCACTTCTTGCATCAACTCGACGCGGCTTCCGACTTTCAAAGCATCGGTGAACTGATAGAACCAGGTCTGGCTCCCTTCCCGCTGGCCCGGAAGGAGCCTGAGAAGCTTGAAATACAAGCGTTCGCCATTGATCATGACACTTGTGCATGTGTCCTCTGCCTGCGGTCAACTCAAGTAAGCATCCGTAACATCTAATGTTACCAACTGCCAACCCTTATGGTAGTTGTCAATGAAGACATGGGATGATCTTGCTTTGCAGCGCATTCGATGCAGGGGAAAACAAATCGGTACGGCCTGGGCACAAAAATTTATCCTTATAAGCCAATCCTTTCAAATGTAATCACGACAAAAGGGAAAACTTCACAAGTGAACTATTTCCTTTCAACAAAGAAATATAGACATGACTGATGAATAAATTCAATCCACATATGGGAAACATGCAGAGCACTCGCACACACGGCCGATTTGTTTTCCGACGGGGGATGGCACCAGTCGCATTCGAAACGGAACATGCCGTAAAGTAAAAGTGGATTTCCCGTGACGGCCCATGCACATCACAGGATGTTCCAGCACAGAGCTCATGACGGCCAATGCTCATCATAAGCGGTGCCACATACCCCCCCAGGGTGGGAGGGCGGATCAAAATTTTTCACATGTGAGCTCCGCATCGGAGCCAAAACCTTCAGTGGAGCATTGGTCCATCAGACAACAAGTGTCTAAGCATTGAAAAGTAGTCGACACATTTAAAAGCGAATCCGACTACAATTCAAAAATAAAGGACAGAATTCATGCGGCATGCCCAAATACATTTGTGTCCGGGAGCACCATGAGCCATTTCACAAAGGCGTGATCGAACGATTACAAAGAAAGGACGGTGAACATATCACCTGTTGGCAAAAGGATAAGAGGATATCACGAACGTGAGATTGTCTTTATCCTTATAAGCCAATCCTTTCAAATGTAATCACGACAAAAGGGAAAACTTCACAAGTGAACTATTTCCTTTCAACAAAGAAATATAGACATGACTGATGAATAAATTCAATCCACATATGGGAAACATGCAGAGCACTCGCACACACGGCCGATTTGCTTTCCGACGGGGGATGGCACCAGTCGCATTCGAAACGGAACATGCCGTAAAGTAAAAGTGGATTTCCCGTGACGGCCCATGCACATCACAGGATGTTCCAGCACAGAGCTCATGACGGCCAATGCTCATCATAAGCGGTGCCACATACCCCCCATCCGAAACACACCGCGCATGTCTGATCAAAAGGCTGCCAGAGTGGGCTGAATCCTTCGGAAGCATTCCTCATACTCCCCAAAGCTCAGTCTGGAGGCAGCGTCGGAAAAATTGCTCTTGGACGGCACCCTGCAATACCATGGAAAACAACTGAGCTCGACATCAAGCTCGGCAATGTCAGAAAGCATATGAGCGGCATCCAACAAAGGAGAATAATTTCTGATCAAGGCCGCCTTCGCTGCCTCGTTGTCCACGAAGATCAGTACCCTTCTGTTACGCAGCACTTTAGCCCAAGTCCGTCTCGCAATCAAGACAGGGTAAAGCTCTGCAAAGAAGATGAGCTGAGTCCGGCCTGAGCTCCGCCACTTTGTCACAAGATCCTCGGGGATGTGACCCCCAAACACCTCTCGAGTCTGCGAAGCCGGGTCAACGATGACCGCCCCATGTGTCACCTGATTGCCTTTCTCCTCACATGCACCATCCGTAAAGATGACAACTGGCGGCTGCTCAGACCACAGGTTCACCTGACGATCCCCAGCCGCCCTAAGTGTTCCAAGCGCCCTCTTGAGGGATTGCAAGACGAAACCATGCACGTCAGGACCAGGTTGTCGCTCGGCATGGTGAATCAACTGAGTCGCAACCTGAGCACAGCGACCGAACACATGCGAAGATGCAAACAAGAGCTTGCCCTTCAACGACGGGAGGGATCGCGCCCCACATGCGGGGTCAGCAGCAAAGCGATCTACCATGGAAGAAATTTCCTCCAAGCGACCGGCCTTATTCCTAACCCTAATCAGACCCCTACCCGCATCTTTGAAGGATAGCACTGCACCAAGCATGGTGAACTCTGAAGCGAAAGGTTTCAACTTCTCGCCATCGGACACCTCCCAGCCAAGGAGATCAAGCAGTGCAAGCGCCGCCTGATCCGCAGAATCAGTCAGACCATCAATCTCAAGTTGGCAAAAATCGTCAAAGAATGACGTATTCACAAGGAACAAAAGCCTGGACATGATAATGCGCAATGCACGCGCAGCCCGGTTGAAGCCTGTCACCGCGCTCGATGCGCCGAACGGGAGAGCGTGGCTCTCAAAATAGGCCACAGTGTTGGTGTCTGGATCTAAGACTCCTAGCACCGAAGCCCAATCGTCGGCGGGGTGCCGAGCTAGCTGTTTGTATGCACTCCGCAAGTCAAGAGCCCTGCCTTTCAAGCGCCGTGCCCGACCTTCCCTGAAGTCAGGATGCAAACGGCCCTGATAGACGCCTCCGCCTGACAAGGGGAGCCTGAAAACCTTGGTGCCCGACACAGTGGCACCCAAGTGGAATCTCGCAAGGGCAACAATGTCATCAAGGCCTTCAAGTTGAATCTTCTCGGTCTCAGTAACCGAAGCATTCACCTGAAACTGCGAGAGATCATCGACAGCACGCACCTTGTCGCCCTGGGACACCCCGAAGCGCTTGGACGCCACCCAAGTGCCCCCATACTTCTGATCCATTTGATCCCATGTGAATGGTCCCGACAACCATCCCTTCTCGACTTGCCCCAACGATTCTTCCCAAACAGCCCTCGCAATCTCAGGATCCTGTGAAGCCTTCCGACACGCAGCCTCGACAAGGTGTTTGGACCACTGCGAAGTGCGCCGCAATTCATCCACTGAGATGACGGCAGGCTTATACTTAGGGGGAAACAAACCCGAAGGCTCAAGGGGACCAGTCAACCGAAATCCCTGAACCATATCCTCGAAGAGGCGCTCATCAGGAACACCTGCATCCTTCAGCATCTGTTTGAACAAGAGCAGCTTCTTGTTGCCCATGATCTCCCGTACCGTAGGGTCCATTGCCTGCTTAAGAGCCTCCTCATCAGACCTCAGAGAGTGCTCCAGTGCACGATAGTGCTCAAGAACCTCCATACGTCTTTGCTGCACAGCCTTAACACCATGCTCAAGAGCGAATGCAATTGCCCGAAGGTTCGGGCCGTCAATAGACACTGCACTGTCGAAGGGATGGGTCACTTTCAAGGCAGCATTCAGAAACTCATCCGGTGTATGGTATACCCCAAATTGGGCCTCACGAACCTCAACACCCCCATCAACAAAGACGCGAGTCCACAGAAGCTTGGAGCCCGCAGGCACGTCGCGAAGCACTGCAAGTGGCTCATCTGGCACATGGTCCGGGGGCTGAAAGTCACGAGGGAGCCGGACAAGGACAGTCCGTTTGTACTCAGGCGGACCCACAATGCCGCGGCCGCGGCGAGGCTGCCGCTGTGCAAAGGAAGATGCCAGGGCCGTGTCCGAAGATGCGCGCACATCAAGCATAATCCCTTTATTTTGCAATGCCAAGCAGATCTCACGGGCTGCTGCCATACACAGGCCGGCTGGGTAAGCGGTTTCCTCGGCAGTGGCATAGTGCACACCACGCCCGTCCGGATCGCGCACACGACCCCATTTCTTGTGTTCGTGTGATTTGTCACACTGCAACATGAGACCTGGAAGGCGGCATGTAGCCAGCAAGGCAGCGCGCTTCTTTCGAGCAGATCCATACATGCAAGAATGCAGCTCGTGCCACACGCCACGCGGGACAAGTGTTCTAAACCACGATGTTTGCCACATGAGGCTTGATGCCGGGTTCTCCACAATGCAAAGGATATCGTGTTCAAGACAGAACGTCCAAACCTTGGCGGCAAAGGCATACAAAAGATTTGCACTTTGTACTCGAGCATGAACCTCGGGACGCAAGGATGCCAACCCGTCTGGAAAAGCCGGGCTCCGTAAGGGTGCAGGTCCCTTAGCCGACCGTCCAAGAGGGATTTGCCGCGCAATCGAAGCAGTCCCACACGGGGGAGCAATCCACACGGCCTGAGCACGGCGCAACTCGACCCAAATGCGGTCCTGCTGCTCTGGGTCGCGCAAGTCCAAGCTGACGAAAGGTGCATTGGCATGCTTAGCGGTGGGTTTGTGATCAACTCCCAACACGCGGAACCCCAGCTTGCGCACCTCGGCCGAAAGGCCAGCAGAGCCACAGAACAACTCGATGAAGGAAGGTTGCGCAGTGGCCGTCACATCACGAGCCACGTTTGACCCACCGAGATCAGGATGATCCGCTGCGGCAGGCGCAGTCCCTGGGACGCTCACCTGAGGAGGCAGGGTGACAGGTGAAGCTGCAAGCGCCGCTGTTGGCGCCGGTGGCGGAAAAGGGAAAACCCCAGGGCTAGGGAGAACCGAAGAGGCAGACTCGGGACCGGCCGTTGAGTCAGGTCCCAAGGTTGGCAACTTAAACCCCAGGTTTGACAACTCAGTCAAGTCTGCACGACGCAAGTTTGCCCAGTTCCGTACACTAAATGCCACAAGAACCACGCGGGGCCCGCGAGACCACGGCATAACGCAGTGCGGCTGTTGGGCATCGAAGCTCAATGCACCATTGGCAAACTCGACAACGTTACCCATCCTTTGGCCCTGATGCGGAAGCGGGCACGGGACCTTGCCGCCCACCGTCTCGACCCAGAGGCCACCGTGGCTGAATTCAGAAACCTTCAGGATGGTATTCATCAGGCTGGGATCATTTCCGTGGTCTGAGTGGACCCGGGTCTCAAGATCACGAAACAAGGCCAGTGTAGTGTAGCAGGCGCCCGGCGCCATCGAACGCATAAACTCATTCAGAACCTTAGTGGACATCGGAAAGTCGCGGCAATGTTGGCGAAGGCCGTGCCGCTTGCCATGATCATAGGTGTAAGCACCTGTTGTGAAAGAAAATTCGGACCCACGGCCCACCTCACGCGAACCGCGCGACGGTGCCTCCGAGGGAAGCAGCTCCAAAAGACGACGAATGCCCCCCGCATCGACTTTGCCGATCAAGGTAGCAGCAAAAACTTCCGCATTCGTATCACGATCATTGCCAAAATGGCTGGTGGCCGTGTCATGCACATGTGTTGCATTGTGTACTTGGCCTGGGCTAGAGCGAACGGGCCCTAGTCACGACGACCTGTGGTGGGAGAAAACATGCGAGGCATCGAAGCATGCAGGGAAGCAGCACACATGCTCCCCTTTTGGGCAGGCCCCCGCAGCATTGGGACATTTCCCAAGGTTATGGTCGAAGCAGATGTTACGCCCGGCCCCGTCCTTGGGGACCCCACCGATGAGCGCCCTTGGCATGACGAAGCGAGTCTTCCGTGGCTTGCCAGGTCGATCAGCCGCATTCGGCGATGCACCGGAATCAGCCTTCTGATTCTTATCGGCGCCCTGACCCCTATCCGTCGCCTTCGACGGATCCGTCTTTTTGGGCGGCTTGCGCGGTGGCTTGTCTGGCTTCTCATTAGCCTCACCAGCGCCCGAACTGCCCAAGGGACCGGACCCTTTTTGCCGAGGCATCAACATCCACTGGATGTGGGAGCCCGCCAGCACCCGAGACACCGGGATGTCAAGCGGCAAGGAGCCATCCGCCCCTGGCACAAGTCCAGCTCGGGTGAGCTCCCCCATGCGAACATGAACCTCCCTGTCCGCAGCCTGAAGTTGAGAGAAGGAGACGGGATGAAACCCAGCCATGGGCTCACGTTGGTACTCCATGAACAGTCGGTCAATCAATTCCTCGTGCCTCTCGAACGACATGATGGCAGCAAGTTCATATGCCACCCCTCTGCGACGCAAGGCCTGCATCACCTCAAGGTCAGACTTAGTATCAGCAGTGATTTTAGCACCGGGATCCACCAGCTTGACGGATCCTGAGCGGCCACCCTGAAGCAGCTTCAAGCTAGCGTCCTCCTTCACAAGATTTATCTCCTGGGCACGACTAGTACACTTCGACCACTCAATGTAGCGCACCCGCTGATCCTCAAGCATTTGGGCTGACAGGTTGACAAGCGCATGCGAAGGCTCCAAGCGGTCCACAAGCCGGAGAGGCTTAACGCGCTTTTGCAACACATCATAACGAGCAGCGAGCTCTGCCGTCGGGACCTTGCGCGGTTGATCTGACTCCGTGGACTCGGCCGTCCGCTTCAGCTCAGCTGCTGTCAAAGCATATGCCTCGAAGTGGAGCCGCCTAAGTTTCGCCTGATGCTCCTCACCCCCATCACCGAGGATTGGCTGGACAACGGAGGTTTTGAAGACATCATCGGGAATCCTCCCGGGCTCCCCTGGCACGCAGAATGCAAAAGTGCCGAAAGTGGCCCAGCCCTTTCGTTTGAGCTTTCCCCGAGCATCCTCGGGCAGCCCCAGCTGAGTGCACTTTGACAAGAACACAGCCTCGCTATCGATGGCGGACATGTCTACACCCGCAAGACGCAACCTACGGAAAAATGTCACATGTGACACTAGACAAAAATTACAAAGCTATGCCGATATGTCAAGCAAAGCACCTACACAGGGACATGTTCACCGTGCATGGTCACCTGGATGCGCTCATGAGCGAAAAAACTGCAAAACATGACACCATGCGACATGAAGTGTCAGCGTGAGCATCCTCAAGCAACATGCAGCACAGCCACATCGAACATGAGATGGGAAACTTCGTTCATTCAAAGCAGCCTCAATGACTACCCACGACAAACTGCAGAACGCGCCCCGGTTCAATTTTCCTCAAAGGCCCGAGTCACTTGCTCCCCAGCACGAAGAGCACTTCTGCAAGATTATTGCCGGAGTTTCATCGAGCTCCTCATAATTACGGTTTGCAAAACGTCCACATCTGAAGACTGTCATCTCGCCCTCATCAGGAGGCTGGCCATCCCGAGCCGCGTGGACAACTCCACTCATACGATGCCTAAAACACTTGACAAAACTTCGGGCCTCAGCAGAAACGTTCAGATCCTCACCCAAGAAAAATGCGGAAGCAACGGCCTCATCAGCCTCGCCCTCCGTTCCGATACTCTCAGCAGCGGACTCAGGATCTGACTGATCCCCAGGTTTGATTTCCGGCGCGTCCGCCGGCGGTGGACGATCGTCTGGTGGGTCCGGCTGAACCCCAGACAGGAAACGGAGAGCCTCCTCAATGGGGCGAATGCCTCCTGTCCACCTTCCGGCCCTGGTCGAATCTGGAGCGAAAATGCCACCCTTGATAGCAATGAACATGCCCTCAAGAAAATGCAACGATGGTGCCATCGAATCCCGAGAGTACTCAAGAGTGGAAGAATTCGCAGACCTGATATGATATCCCGCAATGGACCTGAGGTTCTCAGACGCAGCTGCCTTTGCCATGAAGCTCAGAAGCGTAGCCTTAAGGCTGTGCGTGGCAACCTCACCCCACGGAAAAGAATTCCCACAAGGCGCACACTCCTTTAGGATCTCCCTAAGCCATAGGGCCCCTAGCGAAGGATCGAGGGGCAGCACGTCGAACCCCCCTTGGCACAATGGTCTCGGCATCATAGGGGTGCCACGGGAAGCAACAAGGTTAAGCCTTCGCCTGCGAGCTAGCCAAGCCTCAGCCCAGTTTCCCTCGGCCAAGCCTGGAGTAACACAAGCGACTGGCAAAAGCCTATGCCGGGCAAGCGACCCACGATTGGCAGTCTTATGATGATACAACTGAGCATTCAAGAAACCCTTTCCTTCATGCAAGTCAAGCACCGGCTCAGCCTCGGTATGTTGGGCATCGCTCCAACGCAGCCGGCCGTGAAGACAGTACAAGGCGAAGCCAGCAAGCACTGCAGCTAAATCATTAGGTGAGCTGATCACGCACTCTTCCAGGCCACGGACCTGGGCCACTGTAAGCGGCCGCTTCTTGCGCACCACAACGGTCTGGGATTGAGGATTTGCGGCCCCCTGAACCCTAGCAGATAAAGCAACCTCGCTTACGTCTGCCCCGAGCAGTGCCCCGGAGAAGTTAACCGCTTCTCGAAACCTGGACGCCCTTGACCGGGGTGCCCCCTCGGTCCTAAGGAAGCACAAGTAAAGGTATGCATCAGACTCATCAAGAGGAAACACTGCAGGGTCAAGTCCGACCGATGCCCGCCACCTGGAAAACTGGGCCAGGCTGGATGCCCTCGACCTGAGGGTCGAAGTTGACTTTGCCGAGAACACATCACGGAGGCACTGATCGACCAAGGCGGCTGGGGAACCCTCGCTCTGCATCTTAACAAGATCCCGGCCTACCTTAGTCCCTCGTCCTGAAGTCAGTACAATGAGCTTCCACATCTCAAGCACCGAGGTCCTCTTATCGTCCTCGACATCCGCCCAGGCACGAGAATGCACGACCGAAGACTTCCAAGGTTCCTTAGACGCCCTAACTCGTTGAGCCGTTTCCCTCACCTGTGGCTGGTCCCCAACCTGCTCGGCCACCAATGGTACGAGTGGCGCAGAAAGGAAACGCCTTGCCCCCAACACAGCCGCTAGCGAACCTGACTCCCAAGGAAGCGGCATGTCGATAGCAGCCGCGCTCAAGACAGACATGGCATGGTGCACTGAAGGCTGATAGGGTGCCCTAGCAAACCTAATCCTAGCCCGAAACCAGTCCCCCATCCTAAACCCTACGGGCGGAGGAGTATCTGAGTCCAATGCGCGATTCATGGCCGCATGGGCCTGTGAAGGATCCATGGCTCAGGGGAAACCCTGAGCAAGCAGCAACGCATGCACCGGCGGACAGTCCGAAACTTTGCACTGGAGACCCCGTCACGCGCGGGCTCCAAGGAACCTTCGCTGCCCATGCACGCACTGGCGGGCTAGACCCAACACCGAGTTTAGCACCTGAGGCCTGCTAGAATGTCAAGGGGACATGGAGGCCTCAAAATTTTTCACATGTGAGCTCCGCATCGGAGCCAAAACCTTCAGTGGAGCATTGGTCCATCAGACAACAATTTAAGTGTCTAAGCATTGAAAAGTAGTCGACACATTTAAAAGCGATTCCGACTACAATTCAAAAATAAAGGACAGAATTCATGCGGCATGCCCAAATACATTTGTGCCCGGGAGCACCATGAGCCATTTCACAAAGGCGTGATCAAACGATTACAAAGAAAGGACGGTGAACATATCACCTGTTGGCAAAAGGATAAGAGGATATCACGAACGTGAGATTGTCTGCAAAATCACGGGCCACAAGCCTGGCTCGCCTGAGCCAATATGTGCAACCTGCAATGGTCTTACAGCGCCATGTTACCACAAAACGGGTGGTCAAGTGCTTGTGCTCTGGCAGGATCTGTGCACAGCGCTCAAGAGCAGGGATCCCAAGGAGACGATCAATCTCAAACTGCATTGCAACTGCATCCACATGTGCAAGCTGCTCAGCGCTCAGCTCGGGCTCATGCTCACTCCAAGGGACCAACAAGCACTCAGGAATGTTTGACTCCGGCCGCGTGTCATCCTGGGCTCCATCGGCCTCCGCGGCATAATCAAAATCCTCTAAAATCTCACCCTCAAATTCAAAATCATTCTCCTCGTGATTGTGGTACATGTCGACACCTTCAAACGTCACAGCATCAAGACGAAGCCGTTTGCGTGGCTCGTTTGCACTCGGCTCAGCAGACCTGGTAGGCACACGTACAGCCGCTGGCTCAGGCGAAGAAGCAGGATCGGACGATCCCGTGGCACGATCAGCATTTGGCGCCTCGGCTAACACCTCGGCGTCCGGCACTACAGCCAGAGGCGAGCTCACAACCTCTGCATCGGAAGGTGCTGGTGGCAATGGCGTGACAGGTCCAGTGTCCTCCTGCATGGGCGTCGGTGGCTCTGGCACAAAATCACTTCTGATGGCCGGCGGTGGCACAAGTTCACTCAGCGGTGCATTGTCAGGAAGAACATAGCCGGGATATGGAAGTGGATCCGCACCGGCCGGGGCACTCTCATCTGGCTGTGGCTCTTGGGGTGCTTGTTGTGCATCACGTGTTTTCTGCGGCCTGCACTGTCCAACTTGGCCCGCAAGAAAAGCAGCCTGGGAATAGGGATGATCACGCAGGCGCTCTGCAAAATCAGCACTCCTCAAGTAAGTTTGCGGTAAGCGACGAATCGACCTGCAAGCAAGAAAATGTCCCGAAGCAGTGAAGACTATGTGGCCGTCGCTACACCCAAGTTTTCCCAACCACAAACCTACGCCCCATCGGGGCTGCCCTTTCACAGCACTTTTCACTCTTCCATAAGCTGTCTCACCAATGCACACAAGCTTGCCCTGATAGGGTCGCCCACATGCCAGCTCGAACGGGGTCTGGCCTTGCGATCTGGTGAACCTCTGCTGAATGAAGCTTGCATGCCGCCATGCCCACGCGTGCATTGCATCCAACGATGCCACCTTGACACCTGCACGGGACTCGAACTCAGAAAGCAACGTGTTGGTCAGCTGTCGAAGGGTCTCGACCGCAGGTTCGGCCGCATTGGCCGCATGATCATCAGGGAGTTGTTTCGAATCAGCAGACAAGCCAACTACGATAGTTGGCTGAATATACCCCAAATGATAAATGGGGAAAATCAGAAATATATATCACCGTCACAAATATAAAAGCTCATCACTCAACGATGCACATGTAGCAACCGAAGAAGCAGGACTACCGCGCTCGACCAATGTTTTAACAGCGAAGCTCGCCGGTAAAGGTTGTGTGAAAAGAGGAGGCCACCGCAAGGAGATACACACCTTGCAAATGAAGTTGCATTTCGCAAACCTCAATCTGCCCCTCTTCGAAGAATGACGGAATGCTACTTCCAAGGATCTCTGGTCGACAGCTTGGTAGCCTTTGAGCTCTGTGAAGGATTCTTCTGGTGCGGAGCCCCTCGCTTACGTGATCTCCACTCCGCGATATCTTGATAAAGCGAAGTTCCCAGTTCAAGCATCTCCTTCATGATCACAGCTTTGTAATCCTTGAAAGAGAAACGAAGCCTGACCGAAGGATCGAAGTTCTTGAAATCCTGATTTGTTAAGGCATCGGCCAAAGCGTTTTGCAACCTCGGCGCCCAATGAAGCTCGAGCGACAAAGAGCGCCCTTGAAGAACCGTCGCCAATTCCATGAGCACTGCCACCAGTGGGAAAGAAGTCGTCAGCCAGCGAGCCGTGAGCAAACTATTGCCCCGGTTGTCCGTCGCAGCACTGCAAATGAAACTCGCCTTCGTGTTAGGCGGAGCTTCAAATAAGATCACTCCCACCAAAGTCGCAAGTAACTCGAGCGAAGCTATGGCACGATAGGATTGGCCTGCCATGTGAAACCATGGGGCATCCACATGTGAAATCTTCTCGGCGAACCACTGGCACTTACGTGGATCTGTGGACTGTCCTGACGCCCATCCTCCGATCCACATCTGATCTCCCTCAGCTTTTGCATCCGTGCAGAATAGCTCCACGGTTGCACGCCCCT